CATGTAATTCAAACATGTTTCCATTGTAAATTTTTTAAGTGTTAGATTTTTAAATTCTAGAATTACAAAGCAGCATAAAAAGAATTTTCATTTCAAGTTTACAACAAAAATTGTCAAGAACTGATTTTCTACAATTATTTTCTTTAGTAAATGATATTTGCATGGGTAACACATAATACAAGTACAACTTTTCAGCATTGCACACATCTAGACATTTGAAATTACACTGGATGAGAATTAGAAAAAAAAAAAAAAAAATAAAGATTGATATTAACTGGATGAATCTGAAAAAAATGACAAATTTTATACCTCAAATAATTAATTAATATTAATGAATTAATTATTTCAGGTACAAAATGCTTACATTCAGGTAGCAAACTGTTTCAGTTTTTCACAAAGGAATGTTTTTGTCCTGTTTTAGGACAGCTTCAGCTTCTTAAAGTACAGTACACAGGTCACCATTCCAACTGAATTCTAACATTTTTGACATATCAAACAATAATTCAAACTATATTAGAACAAAAATGATGTAGAATATGAAAAATAATTTGTATATTAATTTGAATAAATGAAATTTTATTATAATTTTTAAAATTTTTTGAAAAATATGGTATATGATAATTATGATAGCATTTAATTATAAATTTTTATCTCTTACTATCTTTTCAAATTAAACATATGTTTTACAGGTAACCACAATGACATCAGATATTATAAGCAGATATAACAGAGAAGTAAAGGATATGAAATTTATCCAGGGATTAAACACAAGCTTGGCATTCTTTTTGTATGATTTATTATCCATAATGGATAGAACGTATGTTTTTTCACTTATTAAGGTATTATATTCAAATTTATACTTTTCATTACAGATAATATAATTATTAATAAAATATTAAGATTTATGATAATATTAGTGAACTGTAATATATTAAAAATAAAACTTTAAAAAAAAAAACCAATATGCTATGGCCTATCATTATGACTATTGATAGGCCATAGCAGTATTACAAAAAGGACAATACAGTAGAAGACAGTTTTGGGTAATTGATCACATTTGATAGTAAAAACATGAAAGGATAAATGCATAAAGTAAAACTATTAATTTTAATTCTAGTACAATAGTAATAAAAAGGTTAAGGCATACAAATTTAATACACACAATTGATAAGCAATAATGAAAAAAACTGTTTTATTTATTAAAAACAAGGTAGTCTTTGTTTTTAATAAATAAAACAGTTTTTTTCATTGTACTACAATGTACTGATGAAACTTTGAATTCAAAGTGAAAGTACATAGTAAGTATAAAGTACAGTACTCACTTAAAAATTATTTATTTACAATTCTTTCTTTTTGACTCTGTTAAATCATTGGTTTGACGATCAAGCAAGATTGTCAGGAGAACTGAAAAATTGCTTCAGATTGCATTTCTAATCATGCCAATGCTGTTTCTAATGCATCAAATGTTGTGACTTTTCATCATGTTTTTTCTGTTGTACTATAATAGATAAAACATAATGATAATATTGAAACTGAGATAGCTCAATCAGAAGATTGCTGACAATCATTATTATGTAAAAACTTTTGTAATTTCTGGAATTAGTACTCTTCAAAGTTAATATTAGTTAATTAATTTTTCAGATAATTTATTTTTGGATAATCACTGCTTTATTGTATTAATAAATACAATGTTTTTAATACTGTAATATTTACAATATATTGACATTATATAATGTGAAAAGTGTTGATTAAATAAAATTTGTTTTAGTAAAATGTACATCATTTTAATTCTCATCTACAAAATCATCCATTTATTGAGTTTACAAAATCATTAATTAATGAGTTTTTTTGCACTTAAAATAGTGCAAAAAAACTCAATAATATTGAATATATTTATAATAAAATTAATACAATGGGTGATTGGTTAATGAACATAATCTGTTCCAAGACTGTTCGTTAACCGATTATTGATTTACCATAGATTTTTATGGGAATTTGATTAATTTGTTCCGGAGACTCCAAAAAATAAAAAATATATACTTTTTTACTACTTTTATTTATATGTAATAATAAAAATACATATATATGCAGTCTTGCATTTTTATTAGTCATGTTTTTTCTGTTTGTTGGGGTTAAAGAATCTGTCCAATGTCAATTACTTTTCTCTCTTCTTCAGGATTTTTTGGAAGTAATTAATAGTATTGTAATTGTAGAGATCCCCAACCCCATTAACCTTATTCTGATTTGGATGCCACTTGGATGATTGTTGTTCTGACATCCCTGGAGTTCTTCTGTCGTCAGATCAGTTTCAGGTTCCATTATGAGCTTTAAAATGCTCTTTATTTTTCAGATGTGATTTTCATTACTCCATTAGTAGCTTGAGACTTCTTATATCTTTCATAGCTAAGATTGTGCCTACTGTAGACCTGTTCAAGCCATATTGCCTAGCAACATCAGACATCTAGCACCCACTTTCTACCTTGGCTATTATCTCTTACTTGGTTTCTACAGTGAGCACAGTTCTTGACACTCCTCTTTTTAGGCTCCATAATATTATCATTTTCTTTTTTAAATAAAAAGTGCAGAAAAGCACTTCCAAAAATTCGGAGAACAAAAATCAACTAGCCACAAAAAATTATTTAAATGCAAGGCCCGAATGAAATTTGAAAAATGGTATTAAAATGTTAACGAATATCCAATGGGACAGTTAAACTTTTGCCTTTTGTAAATAAACCCCGACGCAAAACTTAACAAGTACCTGTCTGACAGTTTCGTGAAGACTATAAAAAATTATTTGTGAGAAAGGTAAACAAAAAGCTGGAATTACAAGGGAGAGTTTCAAAATTCGGCTCGCTATCTGAACTGTTCGTTAACTGATCACCCACTGTATATTTTTATCAGATTCCAATCTGTCATCAGGAAAACATAATATATTTTAATTAATACAAAATGAATAGCATAACTAAAAATAAAGTTTGTCAAGTTCTCTAAAAATACTTTCTAAATATAAAATATTAATTTTTAAAAATATATATTTACATATAAATTATATATGTAAATGACTATGTATTACATGAAAGTAAATTTATGGAATAGATTTTTGTATTACATTTAATTATGACATATTATAAATAGTTTTTACTTCATGTTTTTAACTTAGTATTATTTATTGTATTTAACAGACTTACTGTAAGCAAATGTCAGCTAAGATATCATCTCTGCCAGATGCTGGGCATCTTATCACCTTAAAACTTGAATTTTTAAGGATTATTTGTAGTCATGAACATTTTGTTACATTAAACTTGCCTTTTGCAACACCAGTTAGTCCCTCACCAGCAACATCTCCATGTCCAAGTGTAGCATCATCAATTTCACAAAGTTCATTTGTATCAACAAGTACTCTTACAGAAAAAGGGAATTTTGCTGAACTTTCTGTGGAGTTTCGTCAGCAACATTTTCTAGTTGGTCTTGTATTGTCAGATCTTGCAACAGTTTTAGAAATTAAGTATGTTTTTTATAATTTCTTAAACTAAAAATTTGTAAGGCTTTTTATTATAAATTAGTTTTTTTATTATTTTATCAAGTAATCCGGCTGTTCACGCAAAAGCTGTCAATACTATTCGTAATTTGTTAACATGTCATGACTGGGATCCAAGGTTTGCTGAACCAGAATATAAAGCAAGAGTAGCTGCTCTGTATTTACCACTCATTGGAATTGTTATAGATACGCTCCCTCAATTATACGATTGGCAATCAGAAGCCAAAAGTAAGATTTGATTTTAAAATTAATTTTGAAACTAAAAGTACTGTTAAGGTTTCCTTACTAATAATTTAATACATTTTGCATTCGTTTTCATATTTTCAAACATTATTAAAATAATGTCCACTGCTCATGCCAATTAAATATATTTTTTTTCATTTGCTTTCCAACTATTGGAGTATTTTAAATATTTCAGGTATGCGTTTTGGAATAATATTTTATTTATCTATATTATAAAACTGTATTGACATTATTCACTGACTCACACATTAATATTTGATATATTTGAGTAGAAATGATTTCTTATAGAAAAATAAAATAATTCAGTTGAAATGGGATGTTTAATACATTATCAAAAATCTGTGATCTTGAAAAACACAAATATTCTAGTGCCAGGAGATATCAAAGTTCTCATAGAATGTTTGTTTGCTATCAACTGCTTGTATGCTATCTCATAGAATGTGATAGCATACAAGCAGTTGATGTGTACTAATTTGCTTCATATTATTTAAAATTACAATGTTCTGTTTTGTTTTGCCATCAAATATTTTTATTATGGTAAAATTTTTATTATTTAATTAATAGCAGGAAAATAATGATGCAAAAATATCAGGGATGGAACTCCTAGTAATAAATAAATAAATATATATACACATATATACTTGAAGTTATAATCACTCTGTATATATCTTGTTGTATTGAATATTTTATCTTGTAAATGGGATAGAGATATAAACGAAAACATCTCATATTGAAATCTTGTAATTCAAATACTCATAAATAGAAATCACACTATATATTAATTCTGTTATTTATTTATTTAAAAAACTTTTGAATAGAATGACACAATGATTGCCTCATTTATACATTAAATTCATAATTCAAAATAAATTTATGGAAACTTTTTATTTACTTTGTAGGTCGCTCTTTGTCTTCTAATTCAGATAATACAGATTGGAATTCTATCAATCAGTCTGTTGCAATGGCAATTGCTGGTTCCAATATAAAACATTCAAGTGTTGATTCATATGATCCTTATCAACAGGTATTAATTAATAGAAATTAATCATTAAATTTCAGTTATATATAGAATACAAAATTAGTCGAATATCTTTTTAGTAAAGAAAATATGTAGTACACTGGTTAATTTAAAATTTTTTAAATTTATAATGAACACGATTATTAAAAGTATATGTGAATACAATTAAATTGATATTATTGATCAATCTAAATTTTAGACTCGAAAGTGCCAATTGAAAGAAGATGTAACACGTCATTTGTTATGCTGTTTTCTTTGGGTCATAAAAAATGTTGAAGATAGAGTTTTGAAACATTGGTGGTCAGAATTGGCTCCACATCGAGTGCATCAGTTATTAGAAGTTCTTTTTATATGTGTCACAGGATTTGAGTACAAGGTATATTTTAATTTTTGTAGACATTATACAATATAATTTATAGTAAAGCAGATTTTTANACAATATAATTTATAGTTAACTATTATTTATAATAATTATTTTAATCCTGATTAAAGATGTTAATACATCATATAAAAATATGATACAATACAGTTGCAATTCATATAATCCTATTTTACATGATTTGAAATAATGCATCCTTAAATTACAAATGGTAATAATAAATAAATATTACATGTAAAAGTTAAAATAATACACTGTATACTGACACAAGTTCAAAAATAACTCAGAAATTTGACTAATTCAAGAAATAAGATTTCAATAACTAATATTTGTTTGAAGTTGGTTGGGAAGAAATGTTACTTAATATATAATTACAAGTTAATTAATTTTTTTTTCAAATAATGCATGTAAATTTTCATATTAATTATTTAAAAATATCTTGTAATGATAATTCATCTGCATAAGCAAATGTAGAATATGTTTTGTAAATGTGTAAGTATTAGTACACATATTTATATGTCAAATAAAAATTTTTTACTCCATGCAATTTATACAATAGAAACTTAAAACACAACTATTTTATTATTTATTTTTGTTTAAAGTAATTATTGAAAAATATAATTTACAAAAATTCTTGCCAAAATAAATATAACTTTATTCAGTAATTTCCTACTAATTTAAAATTTTGTTTTAGTTGGCAATTTAATTTACAAATTAATACAAGTAATCATTAGAAATGAAATAAATCAGAATTATTTGTATGAAAAATAATACATAAAATCCAATAATCCATCTCATGTGAGCAATTCACAGTTTATTAAAAATTAATTGTTAAAAATATTATCATCTTAACGTATTATTGAGATGTATCGTCTATCAAATATTAGCATTAAAAATTTTTGAAATATGAATATAAACAATAGTTGAAAATTACAAATTTTGTTGATATGCAGGAAACAAACAGTGAGAATGTTTTTGTTGTAGAAGCAAACAGACATATTTGTTAAATAATAACACTCAAGAGTGAGAACTTCCCATTGAACTCAGAATTTATGTACTTCAGGAAAGTTCATCATTAATAATAAACTTTTAATATTCAATAACTTTGATGTAACTTGATTTTGACTAGTGCAGAAAAAATAGTCCTGATGATGATAAAAATCATTAATTGCATATTTAATATTTTTATTAACTATATTGGGTGATTCATGATTTTTCTGTTTCAGATACATACAATTATATGTAATTCAGGAAATTATATACATGACAGTTAAAATCAATAAATGTAAAAAACTCTTAACATCAAATAACTTGAATTCAATACTCTAGGGTAAAAGAGAATTAAGAAGATTTTGTCAGCAAAGTCTTAGAAAAACATCTGACATTAAATCACGATTAGAAGATGTAATTTTGGGTCATGCTAGTGCAAGAAGTGAAATGATTATGAGAAGGAAAGGTATTTATTTATATTAATTAATGATGATTATTGATTTTATTAAATTACTAGTTTTAATTTTGATGACTTAAAATTAGAACGAAATCCACCATCACCTAATCCTTATCAGGGAGATAGACTTCGCTGGAGAAAGGATCAAATGCAGTGGAGATATACATCAGAGCAGTCGGAGAGGTAATTTTTTACATTTAAAAAATATTTAAGATTTCAAATAAGAAATGATCAGAAATATTAATTTAAACAAAAAATATTTATAGACCAAAAATTGAAATAGACACAGAAGCTCACATTGAAGGGAATTTATCAACAGAAATTAATATGGTTCTGCTTGACACTTTAGAGCTAATTATTCAAGTTAGTATAAATTTTTTAAAAATGTGCTTGTAATTTACATTTTTTGTAATATATCTTACTTTTTTTTTATTTACAGACAGTTTGTCAATCAGATTCCCTACAAGGACTTCTCAGTATTGTCTTGAGAGTTTTGTTACATGCTCTGGGTTGCAACCAAAGCACTATTGTATTGCAGAATATGTTTGCAACTCAACGAAGTTTAGTATTTAAGGTTAATAATATGTTTTTTTTATATATAATTAAAAATTATATAATACCATACTTCATTAAATATTTATCCATAATTTAAAAATCAATTTACTTTTATTTAAATCTAATATTTTTGGTAGTAATGTTAACTTCATAAATTATTAGTAACATAAAATTGTAGCATTTAACAACAATTGCAAATGTTTAAAAAATAAAAATAATTTTTGTATATATTTTATTTTTATATTAAATAACTTGTAAATATATTATGAGAAGGTTTTCAAAAGCCATATTGAACAATCAAAACTTTTTAAACTAGACCAATAAAATTAATGATAGAATCAATTTTTTTACATCTATGTAACATTTGGCAATTTAACATTGAATGGAAATTAAATATGAGTATTAATATAATATAAAACAAAATAAAATAAGTAAGATTATAAGATTTTTTTCCCTTAGAATAATGGATTTTCAAATTAAATATGTAAAACTCTTAAATTTAAATATACTTAATTGTATATGTTCTAACATTTTGATTATGAAAATTATATTTCAGTTTCCAGAGCTTTTGTTTGAAGAAGAAACTGAGCAGTGTGCTGATCTATGTTTGCGTTTGTTAAGGCATTGTAGTTCATCTATAGGAACAGTTAGATCTCAAGCATCTGCATCATTGTACTTGTTAATGAGACAGAATTTTGAAATAGGAAATGTAAGAAAATTTATAATAAATTATTAACTTACTACCATAAAGTTCAACAGTTAATAATTCAATATTTTATTGTTTTCTCAAAGATATTGTAATTAATTCATTTTCATAATTTATTTATTTCAATATTATATAAACAATGATAAAGTCACTCTTAAAATCTTACATTCTTATGATTAGGAATTTTATACATATGTTTTAGTCATCATATGTTAATTATATATGTAACTAATTTGCATAAATCTATACTTTGTTTCCTTTGAAAGAATAAAAATAGTTTCAGTTTAATTATTTGTAATTATCATATTTATTTTTATTTGATTATTATGATGATGATTTTAATTGTAATGGCCAGTATATTCAGTTAAACAAGTAGAATACAAAGATGATTATGTTTAATATTTATACTAAATTTTAATTCAGATAATGATATAATATCTCAAGACAGAGAGAACATTGTTATTTTTTTATGACTGTCTATACAGAAATACAGTATTGTATTTTATATAATTCAATAAATTTTCTATTAAACAGAATTTTGCTCGAGTAAAGATGCAGGTAACAATGTCACTTAGCTCTCTAGTCGGTACAAGTCAAAATTTCAACGAGGAGTACTTACGTAGGTCACTGAAAACAATTCTCATATATGCAGAAGAGGATAGTGAGCTACAAGAAACTACATTTCCAGAACAGGTAAAAATATAGCATTTTAAATTATATATTTTATAAATATTCAGATATAAGTAAACTATTTTATTGAATATAGTAATTTTCTTTTTCTTTTAATTTAAATTTAAGATTAGAATGAATTAATGAAATCGTTAATTTTTTTTAATCACACACTTCTATGTCCTATCTAGTNTAACTTGCATCTATTAATTATTGTGTACAAAAAAATTATCTATCTCCATTCAATGAATAAATCTTGAATTTTCTTTATATTTGTAACTTTTTAATAATTTTTGAAACTTTATTTAAATTTGATTACCAGCATTAATAATTCAAAAAGCTTAGAACAAAAATATTTAAAGTATTAATTATTCAAATTTGTGTATTTTTAGATATTTAATGTGAATTTTTACAGGTAAGAGATTTAGTCTTTAATCTCCATATGATCTTGTCCGATACTGTAAAGATGAAAGAATTTCAAGAAGATCCAGAGATGTTATTAGATCTTATGTACCGAATTGCTAAAGGTTATCAAAATTCTCCTGATTTACGATTAACGTGGCTGGCAAATATGGCTCAAAAGCACACTGAGGTTTGTTGTTATTTTATATTTTAGCAATAGTTTTACTTGTTACTCATTGTAATATTTTTTCTATGTAAGAGAGGAAATCATGCAGAAGCAGCTCATTGTTTAGTTCACTCAGCAGCTCTTGTTTCTGAATATTTACACATGCTTGAAGATAGATCATATCTTCCTGTTGGATGTGTTACTTTTGAAGTAAGTATACGTTACTGTAAACAAAAGTTAAAGTAATTTTTTCATTAATTCAGTATGTAAAATTATTTGTACTTGTAGAAACTTTCATCTAACATATTAGAAGAAAGTGCTGTATCAGATGACATTTTATCTCCTGATGAAGAAGGTATTTGTACGGGAAAATATTTTACAGAAAATGGTCTCATTGGTCTTCTAGAACAAGCTTCTACATCCTTTAGTTTGGTATACTTATATATCTTTTATATTTGTTAATGTTTCAGATTATGTAAATATAAAATATTAAAAAATACCGTAGACCAGGGATGGAGAAACTGCAACCTTCAGGCCATAACCAGCAAGATAAAGTATAAAAGGATAACAAAGTTAAACTTATTATGAAAATGTTTTCTATTCTCTTCTTCAATAAAGACACCTATCTAAATACAATTTACACATTTTATTAGTGCAAGTATCAGTATACTAAATGTTTATAGTTTTGCATGCAATCTACAATACATCATATGATCTTACAAGTTCTCTCTGAAATAGGATGTGTCTTTCCAATTAAAAAAGTTTCTCCATCTCTGCAGTAGAATTTAGTAATAATATTCATGATGGCAATAAGCAGTCATTTAATACCATTAAAGTTAGCATTTCCAAAACACACAAGCTAAAATACACTTATAAAACGGTTTATTATTATCAGATTTGATTGTAGTTATCAGTTTATTCAGTTAAAATAGGCAATTTTTTAAATTTTACCTCCTCCTCCCTCTTTTGAAAAAATTAAATACCAAACTTTCTAAAGTACATTCTGAACAAGCTATCTCACCTATCTTTCACTGATTCATCTGGTGTTCCTCATATTTGCTTAAGACATCTTGATATTACTAAATGGATTTCTTATTTTGATCAGCTATTTACATATAAGTACTATAGCAATTTGCTTCCTTCTTACTATATTAGCTTAAACCATGAAATATTTTTTGTTTGAACAAATGGAATAAAAATCCCATGTTTTTATGTTTCATTTTGTCATTTCAATATTACTGTCTCTCTTCTTTTTTTTTTCTGTTGTTATAAATCTGTTGTCAATATAGAAAGCATGTTTCACCTAGAGTACCATAAATATATAAATTTACCATAATTTTATCTTATAAATAATTTATGTTTTTATGTGTTTTGTGTTCTCTTGATTTTTCATGTTTTTTATGTTTTTTTTTTTTTTTGTAAATTTTTAAAATTATTTTTAACGGGTTTTGTTGTATTTTGGCAGAAATTATTATCCTTGTGACATCGCCTGTACTAATAAATAATTGTAAGCTGCCATCTTTAACAAACAGTTAGCATATAATTGAAGAAAGAAATACTAGCAGTTTAAACTTCTGTAATATAAACAAATAACTATTAACATTTAAAGCTGATAATGATAGTACAAAAGAAAAAACAATTTAAAAACACCCAATGAACATCTAGGTTGATATTCTTATTTGAAGATAACAATAATTGAAACTCCAATTACAATAAGTTTATTTTAAAGCATTTTGGGAATGTTAATTTTGAAAACAAATACAAAAATAATTTGTCTGTCTTCAAATTAATATATTTATCTTCTTAATATGTCCTCCTTATATCATACAGAAACATACTTAAATCTGAGAGAATTTAAACTTTCTTTAGAGGTTCTCTGTCTAAGATCACTCCAAATTATACTTATGTTGTCTTCAATTATTTTAAAGTAATTTTTTATTTTGAATGTTTATTATTAATTCTGGTCTTTTGTTAAAGATTAACTACTGTATATAAAATTATGAGACTTCATTAAATAGTTATTTATGATTTAATTTTTTTAAATATATGGTTTCATCTTGTTCTGATTTAGTAACTTGCATCTATTAATTATTGTGTACAAAAAATTATCTATCTCACTTTTTTAGGCAGGAATGTATGAAGCTATGAATGACGTATATAAAATATTAATACCAATAGCCGAAGCTCATCGTGATTATAAGAAACTAGCAAATATACATAGTAAATTACATGAAGCTTTTACAAAAATAGATCAACAGGTATATTAAATTTGAGAATTTAATACATTAGATTTATATAATTATAGTAAATTTTACTTCATTAAATAAGTCATTTTGCAAATTAAAATTTTCTTATTAATGTATTTTCATTTTTAGGCTGGGAAAAGAGTTTTTGGTACATATTTCAGAGTAGGATTTTATGGCAATAAATTTGGTGATTTGGATGGAGAAGAATTTATATATAAAGAACCGACCCTCACAAAATTACCAGAAATATCAAACAGATTAGAAGTTAGTCTTAATTTATTTTTAAGTATTATTTCTTTTAAGTAAATAATGTATATAATCATTCTGTTTCTACAGAGTTTCTATTCGGAAAGATTTGGTCCAGAATTTGTTGAAGTAATAAAAGATTCCAATACTGTTGATCCATCAAAACTGAATTCTGAGAAGGTAAAATTATTATTATTTTTGTGAATTTGGTGAAAATAATTAAAATTGGAAATACATTTTATTTCAGGCATATATACAAATTACATACGTAGAACCATATTTTGATATGTATGAATTGAGAGAGAGAGTAACATACTTTGACAAAAACTATAATATTAGTAAGTTTTATTTATAATTTTCGTTACTACTACTAATTATTACTACAGTATTGGACCAGTTATCCAGCAAACTTGTTTTCTGGAATTGGACTAAATATATACTTAAAATATAAAATAAACAACAGAAAGTTAATAATGAAATTGTATTTAACTGATACAAATTAATACACTTCCAAAGCAGAGTCTGTTTGATCATTAATCCTCTCAAATTATAAATTGCCGTGTATATGTAATATTTAAGACGAAAAGTAAGCAAAGAAAGGTAAAGAACGTAATAAAACTAGCATCGTGTGATGTGTATGCCATAGAAATCAAAGCAAAGCAGTTGTGCTGCAGCTTGCCAAATTCAAAAATAGCTGGATTTCTGATAACTGGATAATTAGTCCATTACTATATAATTATTATTGCTCTAACAAACACGTAAAAAATGTTTGTATGTTAAATATGAAAAGATAAGAGAGAGAGATATAATATACAATATTTTATATGATTTATATTTATTTTATATTATTCTGATATGCATTAATTTTGTTTGAAAATTACATTATATAATAGTATTTGTAAGACAAAGGCCTGAAAATAACAAATAACACAAAAACATTGACAATGTAAAGAATGATGAAGTGAAGACAGTTGTCAATGTTTTTGGGTTGATTTTATGTACAGTATATGAAACAAAAATATTATTTGGATTTTTTTACAATTAGTTATTATTTCAACAAATAGAAAAATATGATGATACATTCTTGTTCTTTTTCTTATTGTTAAAATTCATTAGGAAAAAAATTGACTTGTATTTGTCTAGATTAATATAATTTCAGTATCTGTCTTTGGTGTTCTAATAATGTACTTAAAGTTTTATTTAAGCCTGTGGCTGTACATCTTATTGTATGCTTTGCCCTTTTATTTATTTATTTGACAATTTTCCCTGTTCTTTGTTCTTTCTACCTTCTACCTTCTAGAACTTTCTAATCATCTTAATTTCTCTTTCTTTCTTGATGGTGAGGGCCACTTCCTAGAATTCACCGACATAAGTTAACTGAGGGCATACAAAGAGAAGGAAGGTCATTTTTGGGTTGGTGCTTGAGGAGAGAAGATCACAAAAAGGAGAGAAAGTTTAGAGTGTCCAATGCCAGAAAGATGGGTGAGGCTAGAACTTTGGCACTGGAAAAGTATTACGAATTATTCCGCTCTCAAATAGTACAGTTTCATGGCAGATTTATGACATGGCTATGGATTTGGAAACACAGTTAATTCAACAAGTAAAATAAAGTCAAATATTTACTTATCACTTGATTCATCAAGTTGCAATTCCATCAAAGATCAGTTTATTTGTTATGTGAGATAAGCCAGAGAAGGAAATATAAGGGAAGAGTTACTGTTTTATAAAACAATCCCAACAACAACTTCAGGTGAAGACATATTTGCTTACTTAACGAATTTGTCTGTGCTAAAGGCTTGACTTGGATTGATTGTATAGGTTTATGCACTGATGGTGCTGCAGCTATATAAGGGAAGAGTTACTGTTTTATAAAACAATCCCAACAACAACTTCAGGTGAAGACATATTTGCTTACTTAACGAATTTGTCTGTGCTAAAGGCTTGACTTGGATTGATTGTATAGGTTGATGCACTGATGGTGCTGCAGCTGCAGCTATGGCAAGGAAGAATAATGGTCTTGTAACTCAAGCAAAAACTGTAGCTCCAGCAGTAAAATTACCTGTACATGAGACTGACAGAATTAGAACTAAACATCAATCATTTTGTGCAATTCAAAACAAGCTCAAATTTTACATTGATGTTTAAAGTTAGAAAAAAAATTTTTCATGTTTTCACAATTTATATTATTATACACTTTCTTCAGAAGGAATAACTTCCTGATTGTACAATATGTATGGTACAGATATTACCCATTTTATTTGTGCAAAGTGTCCTAGATAGGTATATTTGTATTTTTGCTTCATATTTTCAAAGTTTACCGATATTATTTAATTTATAATAAAAAAAAAAAGCAAATAAATACTGAATACAGAGCAATAAACACTTATGCATATGCTGGGGGAGGCAACATTGTATGCAAGCTGCAATCGGGGAGGCATACTGTAGAAAAGATTGGGAACCACTGTTTCATATCATATTACAATTGTAGTGATTATAGCAGATTTGTATCAATTAATTCAATTAATGAAAAGATATGTTTTTTTATGGAGATTCAGAATAAAATTTGAATTTCTTTTTTTCTTTGGAAAACTTAAAAAGTTTCTGTATTGAGGTCAAATGAATAATTATATTTACCAGTTAAATGTTCTTCAATATAGGACTGTTTTTTCAATTCTGTATCATGAAAAAACAACTGATAGCATCTACTATGTCTAGAGAAAGATACAAAGTTACATTTATAGTATAGAAAATAAGACAATACTTTGTCAACCAAATAAAATGTTTTTAGATTTTATTAAATTATATATTCATTTTGTTATTTTCCAATTTCATTCTTTAAGTTTAGGTTTACCTTTATAAAATAACATTTACATATATCATTTTAGATATAAATTTATATAGTTCTGAGATGAAAAATTGTAGTTGTATAAAAAATTTTTCATGCACTTTATTTAGAACGATTTGTCTACGCAACTCCATTCACTGCCGACGGACGAGCTCACGGAGATCTGCACGAACAGTATAAACGTAAAACAATTGTTACAACAGTAAATACATTCCCTTACGTAAAAACAAGAATTCAAGTGACAGAAAGAAAACAGGTAAATAAAAAAAGAAAATTAGTATTTTCCAAACGTAGTATAGGCTAAATACAATCAATTTTTTAGATCGTACTGACTCCTATTGAAGTTGCAATTGAAGATATACAAAAGAAAACAATGGAACTATCACTTGCTATCAATCAAGATCCAGCAGATCCAAAAATATTGCAAATGGTTCTTCAAGGTTGTATGGGAACAACAGTTAATCAGGTATGTGTAAACTTATAGCAGGAATTAACATTAAAAATCCAAAATGAAATAAAACTTTTTCATGTTCTTACCCCAAAATAAAAAATTTTATTGCAAGAACATTATTAACTCTTAAAATATTTCAGTTGTTATTCATAACTATCAGTTTTTTCTTAAATTATAGATTAATAAAACTGATTTAATGTAGATTTCCTGAAACAAACAATACATAAAGTTTAAAATCCAGAAATAGTTTTAGCATAATTAATTTTCAGTTACCTGTGATTTAGTCTGTAATTTTAAATTATGCAAGCATGAGTAGTTCTTTATTTTAATACCTTACAATGGCAAATGCTTCTGATAGTTTCAGATGGATATTAACTGAACAATCATATAAAAAAGTTATACATACTTTTTTTGAATGAAAATGTATTAGAAATCACACATTAACTTTTTTATAATATTGCATTGGAGGTAAAGTATTTTTAAACCTATATCTCTATCACATCCCAATGTTTTGTCTGTAAACATGTAAAAATCTTATGACTAAATATCACTATGTGATTAATTTTATATATCTAAATATGTAAGTATAATTTTTTTAGATAATTAACTTTTTTATAATATTTTATTACGCATTAATCTGCTGTTTCATTCCCTCAGAAAAATGAAACTATATTCCTAAGGATTTTTGTCTTAAATTAACAGTCGTGGACTTAAAATAAAACGAAATCATTAATAATTGAATTTGCTTGGTGTAGTTTAATAAATTACTTTATACTTTCTGACCCACAAATTTCCTATTTAAGCTAATAATAAAGTAAATAACAATGCATTTCACTGAAGCCATCCAAAAATATATATTTTACCCATAATTTATTTTTAGCGGATATTATCTACTGAAATTTTATTTTATAATATAATTAGTTTTTATAAAACAAGTATATATAAGAATTTAAAGATTATAGTTTATTTACTTATTTACAAATTTCATTGATTGGTTAAGATAATCCCTCACTAAAAACTTATAAAATTAAAATTAAAATTGAGATATTTAATTTTATTATAGTTTTGGAAAATACGAAGCATTTCTATTGTTTAGCTATTTTTTTCTAAATTTGAAGTACAACAATCCTTGATGTTTGGTATTCATAATTTAAGTAATAAATAGGCTATAATAACAGTTTTTTTTTATGGATAAAAATCATTGTTTTACAGGTCTGATCTTTATACCATATAAAATTTTTATTTATTTTATGAAATAAATACATTACATCACAAAATAAATCAACATACACAATATAGAAATATGCAAATAACTCATTATGATCTTAATTAAATTCTTAAAATAAACACTAATATATTTTGTGAAGATGTAAATATTGCTTATTCTANATCACCTGTACTAATAAATAATTGTAAGCTGCCATCTTTAACAAACAGTTAGCATATAATTGAAGAAAGAAATACTAGCAGTTTAAACTTCTGTAATATAAACAAATAACTATTAACATTTAAAGCTGATAATGATAGTACAAAAGAAAAAACAATTTAAAAACACCCAATGAACATCTAGGTTGATATTCTTATTTGAAGATAACAATAATTGAAACTCCAATTACAATAAGTATATTTTAAAGCATTTTGGGAATGTTAATTTTGAAAACAAATACAAAAATAATTTGTCTGTCTTCAAATTAATATATTTATCTTCTTAATATGTCCTCCTTATATCATACAGAAACATACTTAAATCTGAGAGAATTTAAACTTTCTTTAGAGGTTCTCTGTCTAAGATCACTCCAAATTATACTTATGTTGTCTTCAATTATTTTAAAGTAATTTTTTATTTTGAATGTTTATTATTAATTCTGGTCTTTTGTTAAAGATTAACTACTGTATATAAAATTATGAGACTTCATTAAATAGTTATTTATGATTTAATTTTTTTAAATATATGGTTTCATCTTGTTCTGATTTAGTAACTTGCATCTATTAATTATTGTGTACAAAAAATTATCTATCTCACTTTTTTAGGCAGGAATGTATGAAGCTATGAATGACGTATATAAAATATTAATACCAATAGCCGAAGCTCATCGTGATTATAAGAAACTAGCAAATATACATAGTAAATTACATGAAGCTTTTACAAAAATAGATCAACAGGTATATTAAATTTGAGAATTTAATACATTAGATTTATATTATAATATTAAATTTTACTTCATTAAATAAGTCATTTTGCAAATTAAAATTTTCTTATTAATGTATTTTCATTTTTAGGCTGGGAAAAGAGTTTTTGGTACATATTTCAGAGTAGGATTTTATGGCAATAAATTTGGTGATTTGGATGGAGAAGAATTTATATATAAAGAACCGACCCTCACAAAATTACCAGAAATATCAAACAGATTAGAAGTTAGTCTTAATTTATTTTTAAGTATTATTTCTTTTAAGTAAATAAGGTATATAATCATTCTGTTTCTACAGAGTTTCTATTCGGAAAGATTTGGTCCAGAATTTGTTGAAGTAATAAAAGATTCCAATACTGTTGATCCATCAAAACTGAATTCTGAGAAGGTAAAATTATTATTATTTTTGTGAATTTGGTGAAAATAATTAAAATTGGAAATACATTTTATTTCAGGCATATATACAAATTACATACGTAGAACCATATTTTGATATGTATGAATTGAGAGAGAGAGTAACATACTTTGACAAAAACTATAATATTAGTAAGTTTTATTTATAATTTTCGTTACTACTACTAATTATTACTACAGTATTGGACCAGTTATCCAGCAAACTTGTTTTCTGGAATTGGACTAAATATATACTTAAAATATAAAATAAACAACAGAAAGTTAATAATGAAATTGTATTTAACTGATACAAATTAATACACTTCCAAAGCAGAGTCTGTTTGATCATTAATCCTCTCAAATTATAAATTGCCGTGTATATGTAATATTTAAGACGAAAAGTAAGCAAAGAAAGGTAAAGAACGTAATAAAACTAGCATCGTGTGATGTGTATGCCATAGAAATCAAAGCAAAGCAGTTGTGCTGCAGCTTGCCAAATTCAAAAATAGCTGGATTTCTGATAACTGGATAATTAGTCCATTACTATATAATTATTATTGCTCTAACAAACACGTAAAAAATGTTTGTATGTTAAATATGAAAAGATAAGAGAGAGAGATATAATATACAATATTTTATATGATTTATATTTATTTTATATTATTCTGATATGCATTAATTTTGTTTGAAAATTACATTATATAATAGTATTTGTAAGACAAAGGCCTGAAAATAACAAATAACACAAAAACATTGACAATGTAAAGAATGATGAAGTGAAGACAGTTGTCAATGTTTTTGGGTTGATTTTATGTACAGTATATGAAACAAAAATATTATTTGGATTTTTTTACAATTAGTTATTATTTCAACAAATAGAAAAATATGATGATACATTCTTGTTCTTTTTCTTATTGTTAAAATTCATTAGGAAAAAAATTGACTTGTATTTGTCTAGATTAATATCATTTCAGTATCTGTCTGTGGTGTTCTAATAATGTACTTAAAGTTTTATTTAAGCATGTGATTGAGTACTGTGGCTGTACATCTTATTGTATGCTTTGCCCTTTTATTTATTTTTTGACAATTTTCCCTGTTCTTTGTTCTTTCTACCTTCTACCTTCTACCTTCTAGAACTTTCTAATCATCTTAATTTCTCTTTCTTTCTTGGTGGTGAGGGCCACTTCCTAGAATTCACCGACATAAGTTAACTGAGGGCATACAAAGAGAAGGAAGGTCATTTTTGGGTTGGTGCTTGAGGAGAGAAGATCACAAAAAGGAGAGAAAGTTTAGAGTGTCCAATGCCAGAAAGATGGGTGAGGCTAGAACTTTGGCACTGGAAAAGTATTACGAATTATTCCGCTCTCAAATAGTACAGTTTCATGGCAGATTTATGACATGGCTATGGATTTGGAAACACAGTTAATTCAACAAGTAAAATAAAGTCAAATATTTACTTATCAGTTGATTCATCAAGTTGCAATTCCATCAAAGATCAGTTTATTTGTTATGTGAGATAAGCCAGAGAAGGAAATATAAGGGAAGAGTTACTGTTTTATAAAACAATCCCAACAACAACTTCAGGTGAAGACATATTTGCTTACTTAACGAATTTGTCTGTGCTAAAGGCTTGACTTGGATTGATTGTATAGGTTGATGCACTGATGGTGCTGCAGCTGCAGCTATGGCAAGGAAGAATAATGGCCTTGTAACTCAAGCAAAAACTGTAGCTCCAGCAGTAAAATTACCTGTACATGAGACTGACAGAATTAGAACTAAACATCAATTATTTTGTGCAATTCAAAACAAGCTCAAATTTTACATTGATGTTTAAAGTTAGAAAAAAAATTTTTCATGTTTTCACAATTTATATTATTATACACTTTCTTCAGAAGGAATAACTTCCTGATTGTACAATATGTATGGTACAGATATTACCCATTTTATTTGTGCAAAGTGTCCTAGATAGGTATATTTGTATTTTTGCTTCATATTTTCAAAGTTTACCGATATTATTTAATTTATAATAAAAAAAAAAAGCAAATAAATACTGAATACAGAGCAATAAACACTTATGCATATGCTGGGGGAGGCAACATTGTATGCAAGCTGCAATCGGGGAGGCATACTGTAGAAAAGATTGGGAACCACTGTTTCATATCATATTACAATTGTAGTGATTATAGCAGATTTGTATCAATTAATTCAATTAATGAAAAGATATGTTTTTTTATGGAGATTCAGAATAAAATTTGAATTTCTTTTTTTCTTTGGAAAACTTAAAAAGTTTCTGTATTGAGGTCAAATGAATAATTATATTTACCAGTTAAATGTTCTTCAATATAGGACTGTTTTTTCAATTCTGTATCATGAAAAAACAACTGATAGCATCTACTATGTCTAGAGAAAGATACAAAGTTACATTTATAGTATAGAAAATAAGACAATACTTTGTCAACCAAATAAAATGTTTTTAGATTTTATTAAATTATATATTCATTTTGTTATTTTCCAATTTCATTCTTTAAGTTTAGGTTTACCTTTATAAAATAACATTTACATATATCATTTTAGATATAAATTTATATAGTTCTGAGATGAAAAATTGTAGTTGTATAAAAAATTTTTCATGCACTTTATTTAGAACGATTTGTCTACGCAACTCCATTCACTGCCGACGGACGAGCTCACGGAGATCTGCACGAACAGTATAAACGTAAAACAATTGTTACAACAGTAAATACATTCCCTTACGTAAAAACAAGAATTCAAGTGACAGAAAGAAAACAGGTAAATAAAAAAAGAAAATTAGTATTTTCCAAACGTAGTATAGGCTAAATACAATCAATTTTTTAGATCGTACTGACTCCTATTGAAGTTGCAATTGAAGATATACAAAAGAAAACAATGGAACTATCACTTGCTATCAATCAAGATCCAGCAGATCCAAAAATATTGCAAATGGTTCTTCAAGGTTGTATGGGAACAACAGTTAATCAGGTATGTGTAAACTTATAGCAGGAATTAACATTAAAAATCCAAAATGAAATAAAACTTTTTCATGTTCTTACCCCAAAATAAAAAATTTTATTGCAAGAACATTATTAACTCTTAAAATATTTCAGTTGTTATTCATAACTATCAGTTTTTTCTTAAATTATAGATTAATAAAACTGATTTAATGTAGATTTCCTGAAACAAACAATACATAAAGTTTAAAATCCAGAAATAGTTTTAGCATAATTAATTTTCAGTTACCTGTGATTTAGTCTGTAATTTTAAATTATGCAAGCATGAGTAGTTCTTTATTTTAATACCTTACAATGGCAAATGCTTCTGATAGTTTCAGATGGATATTAACTGAACAATCATATAAAAAAGTTATACATACTTTTTTTGAATGAAAATGTATTAGAAATCACACATTAACTTTTTTATAATATTGCATTGGAGGTAAAGTATTTTTAAACCTATATCTCTATCACATCCCAATGTTTTGTCTGTAAACATGTAAAAATCTTATGACTAAATATCACTATGTGATTAATTTTATATATCTAAATATGTATTTATAATTTTGTGATAATTGCTAAACTTAAAATTGAAAAATTATGCAAATATATATATATATATATATATATGTTACCGCTAAAGCTCGAAACTCGTTAATGTGTACATTACCTAGCTAATCTGCAGATTAACTAGGGTGATCCGTTAAAGTTGCTAAAATTGTTCTATTTCTCAAATTACCTAGGTAATGTGCAGATTATCTAGGTAATCTGCAAATTACCTACTAGGCACTCGGTAAAGTGAAAATAAGATCTTTGCTGGAACAACAGCAACGTTTCTGTACGCTTAAATTAACATAATGTTCTTTATTTAATTTTCGATATCTAAAGAATCAAGTTAATACAATCAAACAATCGACAAATTAGTTGATAGAATCAATCATCAACCAATTAAAAAACATACAAAAAATCAAACGATTTAAAATATTAATACAATTAGGGAAATTATTATATAGATAACCACCTATGGAATTTCGGGACTTTGAGTATCTATCTGAACTGAGGGGACCGAGACGACTTCAACGATACCCTACTTTTGGACCGGAGACGAAAAATAATAAAGTTATCATACTTTTTCTGGTGATCGCATGATATAATTGTGCAGTTAATGTTACCTATGGTGAGTAAAATGGCGGCTCGTCTCTGATTCCAGCAAACAGAAGAAAGGAAACAGTGGGGACGCACGTTCAAACCTAACCTAACCTATTCTAATAATTTGGTTGGTAATAATTATGGTAATTTATTAAAATAGGTTAGGTTAGGACAGAACGTGCGTCCCCACTGTTTCCTTTCTTCTGTTTGCTGGAATCAGAGACGAGCCGCCATTTTACTCACCATAGGTAACATTAACTGCACAATTACATCATGCGATCACCAGAAAAAGTATGATAACTTTATTATTTTTCGTCTCCGGTCCAAAAGTAGGGTATCGTTGAAGTCGTCTCGGTCCCCTCAGTTCAGATAGATACTCAAAGTCCCGAAATTCCATAGGTGGTTATCTATATAATAATTTCCCTAATTGTATTAATATTTTAAATCGTTTGATTTTTTGTATGTTTTTTAATTGGTTGATGATTGATTCTATCAACTAATTTGTTGATTGTTTGATTGTATTAACTTGATTCTTTAGATATTGAAAATTAAATAAAGAACATTATGTTAATTTAAGCGTACAGAAACGTTGCTGTTGTTTCAGCAAAGATCTTATTTTCACTTTACCGAGTGCCTAGTAGGTAATTTGCAGATTACCTAGGTAATTTGAGAAATAGAACAATTTTAGCAACTTTAACGGATCACGCTAGTTAATCTGCAGATTAACGAGTTTCCGAGCTTTAGCGGTAACATACATATATATATTACTTAAAATTATTGAGCTTGTCACTCATAGCAGGCATCCATTTTATAAAATCTAATACAGATCGCCAAAGGTTTAAGATTTCTATAATCATTAATCACAATTGTAAATGCATTCAGATCAACATTAAATCATTAGAAAAGCATATGATATCAATTTGTCTCTGTTTTTAATATTAGAAAATATAGACAATGATTAATAAAGTTTAAACTAAATAGGAGTAAATAAATGTTTTTTTGAAAGATTTATACAAAATAACATACTGTGTATAATGTATTACTTACTGTACATAGTAATTTTAATTGTATCTTTGTCATAGTTGTTTGCTCTTACAGTATTAATTTCTTGTTATAAACAATGAATGATGTAGCTTGTTAGTTGAGTAGAACACCACTTAGTTTTTTGCTGCAATAGGTACAATCACATTAGGGATAGTTTAATGAGAGCTGCTATTCTCAAAGGGTACAAGTGGTCTTGCAACCCACACCAACTCATTCACATGCGTACAATGTTCCATCATTACTCGCATTCATATCCATTAGTGGGGCTCTTGAGAGCACTCACTCCAGGGGCACAGATGGCAATTAGCTTTCCCTTGCTTTGTTTCAACTGTTGGTATATAGCTGCCTTTCAACTTTGTATTTTAATTCTTATTTTCTGTCTTCTTTTTAGTCTAAATTCAGTTAGTCCTAATTGTAAGTTATATTAGAGACTCTTAGCTTGGTTTCTGGTTAGGTCCATCCTAGGTAAGTTTAGTTAGTGAGTAAGTTAACATTTAAAAAAATAATAAAAATAAATAAATAAAAATTTTGGGGTCTTGCTCGTTTGTTTCTGTCGGTCCGTTCGTCTCATCTAGTTTGTCATTGTGTTTGTTTGTTTTTTCGTGCTGTCTGTCTAGCTGTTAAGTAGTATTAAGATTTGTGATCATGTTCAGTTTTATTAGTATTAAGTAGATATACTGTAAGTCTTCCTTCTAACAACCACTTGGCACTAACTTCTACACCTAGCTATTCATGGCGGCACTCAATTATTGGTGTTCGCTACACTTCAGGTTTTCTTAGGCTGCAAGGCCGTAGTCCCCTTCTGCACACCAACATCAAACATAGAGGGTACTGTAGCCTTATGTATGCTGTTCAGAGAGAATCTACCTTTCTCTACTATCTATCTCCTTTCCCTTACCCTCTTAATACAAGAAAGACATCGGCTGTACACAAAGTGTTTAGCTGATGTCTTTCTTGTATGTATGTTAGTTGAGTAATGGTAACAATTTGTGATGCCAAATAATCAAAATGCATTAATTATACAAAACACAAAGAAAAGTATGGATGATAATGAAGATAAGCAGTGAATTGTGTTAATCCAAATATAATAGTATACTTTATTAGTTTGACAACATTATCTAAATACATTCATTAATTTAATTTAGCAGTAAAAAGTTATTAAAAATTATCAGTCATTTTAATAATAAAATTATTTAGAAATACTAGACTGAGACTAGAAGAATTAGGAGTTTAAATTTGAACTTCCAGTTCTCGCATATCAAGTTGAATGCATTATTGATCATGTTCATTGAATTTCTCTAAAACATTTCAGTTTATATCAAGCATAATAATCATGTAATTGATTACCATTGCACAGGTAACCACAAATATACTGCATAAATCCTGTTTTTTTTTTTTCTTTGTTGAGTTTCTGTAAAAGCCAATGAACTAAAACAGAAATGTTTGTGGAAATTACACTATATAAATAACAGCACTGCAGTATAAGATTCTCTCGTTTTTTTCTATGAGCAGGAATGGGGAAAAGGAGTTGATTCGGCAATGCTAGCTTTGAACTCTGTCGAGCCGGCAGTATCAAAGTTGCCTCAGGACAGACCCTCATTAACTGAAACCTGTACTGATCAAGTCTTATCTATATTTACTAAATTCTGTTTTTATTAAAACATTTATAATAAAGGCAACATAACTTGAGTATATACTACTTAAAATTCTGGAATATAATTGCAAAACTAACTCATTTTGAACATTATTAAAATTTTTACCTTAAGAGAACATCATTTCCAAATTAATATGAAAAATTCAAATTTGTTGGTTGATGATCTTTTAAAAGGACAAAAACATTTTTAATTAAAAAATTTGTTTTGGTTTCTTGAATTTAGCATTTTTCTTATTTTAAATATGGCACTAAGTTCAAATGGTATTTTGTTCATTTATATTAACCAGAGAGAATTTGTGGAAATTCACTTTCATGCCTTGCTAAAAATATCTTAATCATTATTACCGAATGAACTATGCAATAATATATGTCTGTTTCTTCTGAAATCGAGGCCTTATTAAATGTTCCAAAACATTGTTATTGTTTATGCATAGCATATTTTCACACAATTTTTTTTTAAAGGAGTAATAATATGAATCTGCAAAAAACAATATATTTTGATTCTTTGTGAAAATAGATAACTCTTTTGAATATACTTTTAATGGACTATATTTAAAGCTACAGTAACTTGAAAGTGAAATTCATTTTCAAGTTACTTTATTTAAAGAGTAAAGCCATTTTGAATGAAATAATCTGAATTATTTTGCTTTTGAAAATGTAAAAATGTTTAGATTATGCTTTGATGTTGTATCTTTAATGTTAGTGAACAAAATAACTGTAGTAGAAAGACTTTGTATCACTAAAGAAGTATTATTTCTTGTTACGTTTACCAAAAATATTTTAAAAACAGCACTTAAGAAAAACTGATTAAATTTCTGAAACTATTTTTCTTTTATATCTTGACAAATATATATACAGTTGATTCCGCTTAATTGAGACACATTGGGACTAATCCATTTTGGCTCAATTAAACAAACTAATAATGAATTCTATAATAAAATATGTAATAAGTAGGTAAAAAAATAATAATTAATACCTATTTTAATGCTTTATTAAACCAAAATACAGAAAATATTTGTACTATAAATTTGTCAGACTCACAACAATAGATAACTGATTTGCATAATGCTAGTGTTTCCAAATATTAGTAGTGACGTACACAAGGGTTGACCATTCGATCTGTTCCTGACCAAATTTTCCTTTCTTATTAGTTAGAACATGTTCTAACTAAAAAGGGAGAAAGAAAAGGGTTCATCCAAAAATCATTTTATGGTCTTCCTTTGAGCACAGTTTCCTTTACTTGAAGATGGGTCATTTTGGCAGGAGTGTCCATAGAATCCTTCAGCTCAATGCTGGTCTCAACAGTCGGATGGCTGCTGTCTGAATCTAGACATAATTATACTTTTCAAGGGAACTCTAGCTGTCTTCCAACTCAGTCGAGAGACCTCGAAAAATTGTTTGGCGATCTTTGACCCTTCACTTTTAAGGGGATCGTCCGGTCCGGTCCAGTCCAGAGCAGGGTCAGTAACTCGCATTCAGGTCTGCCTCAGATGAAATCCCCGTGTGATACATCTGCTATGCCCGAGCAAAAGACAAAATTGCTTTGACTCTGCCAACATGCCATTAGTGTATGTATGTAGTGCCTGCATATTTTTGAAAGATTAATAAATTAATACATAATTGGGACAGTAGCAGAAAAGGAATTTAGCAATTTTTGATATATTTTAGTAGTTTGATTTGTTCTTTGAGATTTGGCCCAATAAAGCAGAATCGCCTGTGTTTGCTCCTGTGAGAAATTTATTTTATAGAATTTCCATGTTCATTAAATGGAAAATGCATCCTTAGTGAATTGAAAATACAATTTCTATAGACCAAAAAATTAAAATTTTCAATGATTCCTTTAAATAAGTAAAATGTAAATGTCAATGGTTTTAACACGTTTTGAATTCAGTAAAATTATATGTTATATCATAAGTTTAGTAAAAATAATGTTACTGCAACTTTTTCTTTAATGTTTTCATATAAATATATTTAGGGTCCTATGGAAATAGCTATTGTTTTTTTATCGGACCTTGTGGATGGTCAGAAAACACCTACTCCATTACAGAATAAACTTCGATTGTGTTTTAAAGACTTCTCAAAAAAGTAATGTATTTCTTTAATTCCATTTACTCGTATATAATTTTTAATTATTTAAAATTGCTTTAATTTCCTGAAAATAATTTGATAATTGTATCATTATTTTACATTTAAATGAACATAATATTTTTGAACTAGATGCAGTGATGCATTGAGAAAAAACAGAACTCTAATTGGTCCAGAACAACGAGATTATCAGAAAGAACTAGAAAGAAATTATCACCGCTTCACCGATCGCCTTATGCCCATGATAAGGAACAACGGCATGACGGCCCTCAGAATACACAGGTTATTATTTTATATTGTAAAACCATTACTATTATTATAATTTCCTGCAATTATTATTGTTTACTTATAGAGAAACAAATGGAGAGAGAAAGCAAAAGAAAACAAGTCCAATTGTTTAGCACCAAGTATGCTAAAATTTAATTATTGAACATGAATTTTATTTCTAGTCATTTTTATTGTACTCGTATTTATTTATTAATGTCTTTTTATATTATGTTGTAGCAAATTGTTCAAATGTTATTTTTACTATTATATATAATATGATTAAAATATACAATTAAAAACTAATCTATCTGGGACAACTTTTTAATGCAAAAATTTACTAAACAGTATTTCACAATTTTTAAATGAAGCTACTGTTAAAATTGATTATATCCTTTAACATTTTCAGTCCAAATTTTTTGACTTAGTGGTTATTAAAATTATTGATAGAATTGATACTATATTTTGAATTACTTTATATTCATTTCTTTCATAAATTTTCAATTTTTGTTCGAAGAAGCTGACAGTATGAACATCAGCAGCATGGATAATTGCTTACAAAAGTAACCAGGAGGCTTTGAGACCAGCAAAACATAATTTCAATATCACTACTTTGTTTCTGGTAAATCAAATAGGTGGCTACATGCTTGATCTCGTAGTATGCTGACATTTTGACTCAGAAACGTGCACCAAGATGGCATTGGAAACCAATTAAACTTTATTTGTATGAATGCTATGATATTACCACTATCATTACAGACAGTTTCCCGTAAAACAAAATTACAATTTAAAAGAATCTCTACTACCTTCTAGGAATACAACAGGAGGGTATGAGCCATATAGGCACTACATGCTATCCTGTCACAGGTTAGCCTGCAAATGTCACAACAACCACTCCAGATCCCTCACACTTGTATATGGTCCCACAAATTCTCCATGAAAGAAAAATTAGACAGGGAAAGCCAAGGAAATGTGACAAAGACATTCCTGGGAAATACCCTAGCTGGCAGCAAACACAGTGGTTGGCAATTCCCAAATAGAATTGGAATTCTTCACTAAAGACAATATTCCATCAGACACTAGTAGCCCCCCAAAGGTAGGGAACTGGCCTAGCAGCGGGTATAGAGGATCTGAAGGTCTTGGCTATTGATGGAGTCTAGACTCAAGCCTAAGGTTCCAGAAGTGTCAGAGTATCACAGGCCTTGGATCTGTGGACCAGGCCATAATTAATGAAGCTTGTTGTCTGTGTCAGACAGACGGCAACCATGAGCTGCAATTTGGCATAGTGGCATGCAGACTCACATCAAAACAAAAGGGAGACTGATATGGTAGCAGTTCTTAATGGTTTTGGCAATAAGAGGGCCAAGATACTCCCTCAATAATCCCAATTCTGGAAGACGGTTGCTGTAGCCTCTAACAGGATTCCCAGGGAGGAATGGTCTTTGGATGAGATAAAAGGAGTGTGGTTGATTGGGCTCGTCTGACACAAGTTAGTAGGCCTGCCGATAAGGAGTGAAAGCACCAGTGGGTGCCCTCTTGTGGGGCCTCACTTGACATGGGCGCCGTTGAAATACAGTAGGGATCCCTGTCGCGCTGTTGCACTGCACTGCACTGCACTGCACAGCCCACCCCGAGTCCCCCTGCCCTTGATTGAGCACCGCTCTTGTTGGCAGCAAGATGACCCCCCCACTTGCTGTACTCACTGGTGAAGTTCCCAGCAGATCTTGGGCCTGGGAATGCTGTATGCTGGATATCCTGGATTCAAACACCGCATCAGCTAGAGAACTGGAGGCTAACCCTCTGGAACTGAAGATATATTCTCATGAACAGAGCATTGCATGCACTAACTCTTTGTTCAGCCATCATAAATATAAAATAAAGTAAGAGGGGTTGAGGCTGCTGCCAGGACAGCTACCCATTTAAATGGCTGCCTACCCAAGGTTACCCCCAGTCTGGTTGGTTGCTTGGCTTGGGCTGCCTCCTTATCCCTATTAGGATGCTTTCTTCCTGTTTCTAGTTTTCCAGCGCTGTAACTGACTCTAAGTGTGTGCATTGTTGTAGGAGCTCTGAAATGGAGCTTTTTGGACGGTTTTTATTCATCTGACATTAGAATATCGCTAATAACCATCGATCTGAAGGCACAGAGGAAGGATAGGATAGGATTTCAGAAGGAATAAGGTGAGTTTTCAATTGTTTTTTCCAACTCAGCCATGTGTCGCTGCAACGGTATAGTTGGAGTATCTGGCACTTCTCTCTTCTTTAGCCCGGGTCTCTATGCATGTGCACGCGTGTTTCTCGCGTATAATGCGCACCCGAGAATAACGCGCACTTCTGTCTCTTCGGCCCCCCGGGTCTCTATATATATATGTATGTGCTCATTTTGCATGAAACAGTGCAGTTGGAGTATTTGCGATTGCTTCTCACTCTGTTTCTTTTGTCTTTTATTTTTTCCCGAACGTGTGTGTTCTGTCCATCGACATATGCATACGTAGGCGGCGCATGTATCGCATATAACTCGCACTTTCCCTCTCTCTGGGCCCCTGTCTCTCTAATAGGCTCTTATTCCCTAGGAATCGTCCTGATCTGTGTCTCCCTTTAGCCCCGGGTCTATATATATACATGCACTTTGTTTCCACTAGTCATTTTGCTCCCTCCTGAGAGCTGCAATTGATTAAGACACCGAGTCCTTTATTGGGCATAGGTTGACTTCACACCCACAATCTTAATTTTGTCAGGTTTACTCTATTCTCCAAGTCTCGGAGAGTGTCTGTGATACTTTTATTCTTATATATTAGGACCACCTTATCATTCCTCGGAGGTGGTCGGAGTTTTAAAACTGATGCATAGCTTTTGCCCTCGTTTGGGGCGCTGGACGAACTTGAATTCTGAGCAGCTAGGCTTAGTGATTCAGCCTGTTTTTTCTCCTTGAGTTTGCAATAATGTCGATATAAGGACGTGAACATGTCCTGGGCCTTAGCTAGACTTATTTCGATGTTTTTTTTGATTTCGACTAACTTCAAGGGCCAATAATGCTACCTCGATGCAGGACTCGAATATCTCCGGATTAGGGACGGCACGGGTTCCAGACATTATTCTATTATTTACTACTGTTGGCTGTGACACCACTAAAACTATTAAAGCACTTCCTCACCAGTCAAATAACTCAATGTCCTGTTCGTATCTTGACCAAAACTGAAAGGGGGGGAGAGAGATTTTAACAAAGGATATTAGGATTTTATGGGTCCCTACAGTTCTAGGAAATTTTGGTTAACAATGGAAAAACTGGAACATTTAATATGGACGTTTGAATAGGCTTTTAATAATTTTAAAGTACTTTTAAAAATAGGTGTTTTTAAATTCTAAAATTATGTTGTTATTTTTACTTAAATTTTTGTTAAATTTGGTATATATTAATCACTCTATTAACAGGTATAGTTACTTTTTAATTTAATTTTCATCCCGCTTGGTTGTATGTTCTAGGGGTGAGACAGTAACAGTATCTTTTGAGCCAAGTATTTACTGAAGTTTGCATATAATTTTCCACTTTTATTCTAGAATTTCATTGTTGAAAAGCCACTGTCTCCTTCGGTAGCACTCTCTCTTTCCTTTTGACTGGCGTTTTGTAGGCAGAGTTCATGAGAGTGTATCTTCAGTTCCAGAGGGTTAGGATTGTCAGATCCATAGCTGACACGGTGTTTGAATCCAGGAAATCCAGCATACAACATTCCCAGGCCCAAGATCTGCTGGAAACTGAACCAGTGAGTACAGCAAGCAGGGGTCTCGGGCTGTGCAGTAGCGTGACAGAGGTCCCTACCATATTTCAACAGTGCACCCACTGGTGCTTTCACTCCTTATCAGCAGGGCTATTAACTTGTGTCAGACGAGTCCACATTCCTTTTATCTCATCTGAAGACAAGTCCTCCCTGGAAATTCTGTTAGCAGCGGCTACAGCAACCGTCCTCCAGAATTGGGATTACTGAGGGACCATCTTGGCCCTCTCATTGCCAAAACTATTAAGAACAGCTACTGTGCCTTGACCTGTACCAGTCTCCCTTTTGTTTTGATGTAAGTCTTCATGCCACTATGCCAAATTGAAGCTTCTGGTTTCTGTCTGTCCGAACAGGGATATGTTCCAGTTTAGGTAGATGTTAGAAACCCTGATGGAGGCTGTGGATAAGCAATGTAAAGCCGAGACTCCTGAGCTAACAGGAGCTACTACAGAGCCATTAAATAGAAAAGAGGAAGGAAGTGGTGTCTCTGGCACCATAACCAAAACCAAAAGCGACAGTTATTTAAGTGATTACTAGACATCCAATTAGACAATAGCTGTAACAGAACACAAGCAAACAAAAGCTGCAAAGTTGGGGTTGTAGTAGTCGAAAGGGCTGAGAATATTGTCAATCTAGCCTCTGACTTGTGCCATGAAGAGATCAATTCGATCATATCAGAGGAGGAAGTGAGTGAGCAATGTGTTGATAGGTGTGCATAGAAGAAGATACAGCCTCAGATGCTGTTCCTCCTGGGGATGAGGTTGAGAGGACTTCGAAAGCAATCAGAGAAGTTGCTTTCCAAAACGGTGAAGTCAAGACATCCTGTACAGACCCAGGACAAATGCCAAAACCAAGTATTGGAGGAAACCTTCCTCTGCTGAAAGGCAAGAAGGAACTACCATGGTGCAGTTAAAATGCTCAGAATTGAGCAAAGGAGATAGAGGGAACCTCTGAGGCACTTGTGACTCTGTTAGGCAGCAGGACCAATAATTGCTGTCAGAAGACAGCAATTATTGGTCCTGCTGCCTAACAGTAGGTTCTGCCATCCTGCACCTCTTTAATGCTATGGCAAGAGTGTGAACTTAGTGCTCTTCACACTGAAGTTGGGCCACCTTCCTCTCTCTCAGGACTCTGTCCCACCAACCAATCCTAAAAGACCCAACAGAGCGGTAGAGAAAAGTCTCATGACTGCAAAAAAGGGGACCTTGCAAGTGGGAGCCTTCCATACCCTTATCAGAACTTGTTCTCCTTTGGTATCCTAAGGACTAAAAGGAAAGTAGCAATGCAGTCCGTGATCGTATAAAGAAAAATATCAACCCTGATAACTTGAAAGTAGAAGTGAAAAAAGGTCTGCCAGGTCAGGAGGAATGATGTCCTTATTGAGGTCACATTCCATAAGGACATCAAAGTACTCTAAAAGGAATTGATGGAACGGAAGGCACTGAGCGAAGTGGTCGTCTGTCAACTGCCAAAGAAATGCCTTCCAAGAGTTTGTTTTTACTGATGTCATCTCCATCCAAAACAATCTTGGCATGAAGCCCAAATTTTTCCTTAAAGGGAAAGGGGCCTCCTCAATTGGGTCTGTGAGGTGATGGCTCCCCTATTCAAAAGGCAAGGTCCATGTTGGGTGGACCAGGAACCAGGACTGGAAACGTTTTGCCCTGACTTGGTGTTACAGGTGCTACGAGTTTGGCCATATCGCCCCTAGTGTAAGGTGGAGGCACAGACTTGTCGCTGCTCAATGGTGCACTTCCCCAAAGATTGCAAAACAAAGCTGCTGAAATGCAGCAACTGTTGCAAAGCCAACAATAAGTTTGGTTTGCAGCTGGAAGTAAATCACTTCTGTTTGAGTGCCAGCTGCCAGCTCCCCCTCTTACCTGAGGGAACTGGCCGTGGTCCGCTCTCGCACCGACTATGGCCAGTAGCCAACTGAAACTAGCAAGAAACGGAAAGGAATTTACAAAACATACAAAAGTAGGTCTCTGACTTAGTCCTGTCTGGTTAAGATACTGAGCATTAACTTATAGCCTCTCTGCCCGTTTTAAGTAAACGTGGGGATCTTCGGGCCCCACCAAATACATGACCAACGTAGGTAAGGCTATCTAAGGTCTAGGTCATGGCTATAACCTACGTGGCCCACAACAGAAGCCCAATGCTTATGAGATTGAAAGGATATGAGTAAAGTGGTCTATAAGACTTATAGCCTAGCATTATGCTGGGCAGGGGCCCCGCAGTCCAAGAAGTTAAGCATCACTCAGTTCTTTGTTGAGTGTGTACAAACAGCTTAAAGCTGTGCAAAACTGTCACAGCACCACTGGGGTGCTAATAGCAGGATTTATAAATGTTACCATGCTCAAAGATTTGCCAATGGTAGTAAAGAGAGAGAGAGAGAGTTCTTTAGCAAGACTTCCACCTGCCTCCATAGATGAACAAACATGGTGATTGTGAGATGAATGTCTTTTGGAAACAGTGGGTCCTATTATTTGGAGAAGGAACTGTTTATGTTTCGGGCTACATGCTCAAATCAGAGACCAAACATCTAGTCTTCATCTTGTCAGATAATGTTGTTGTGTCATATAGTCATGTCTGGCATTCAAACTCCTCTGAACGATAGGTACACTGAAAATTCTGAACACAGTGAGCCTGTGCAAGCCTTTTTATGGGATACTGAGTAGCATCTTTAAGATGCTCTGGTGGCATTACAGCTGTTGTCTAATTGGATGTCTAGTAATCACTTAAATAACTGTCAAGACACCAAATATTCCAATTATTGTAAAACGTAGCATACATCTGTCTGGATAACTTTTTGTTGATGAGTATATTTAAACTTTCTTTGAACCCCTCAGGTAAGTGTTGATGAGCTAGTCTAAAAATGAAACAGTGCAAAATTACAAATAGATATGTAACAAAAACAGTAATAAACCAAAAGAAAATTTAACTTAAATCCCATAATCTGTTACAAAAGTATATTAATGAACAATAAAAACATATTTTATAAGCTTACAAAAAGAGGAAAAAGTCTCAGAATTGTGCACTAACAGGACAAATTATTAAACAAAAACATTTTATTAAAATAGTTCAGCAATTTGAAAATGACATCATCCTCATTTCACTTGTTTATGATTTTTAACATACATACCTGTTTAGAAGATTATGTTTTATTTGAGAAAAAAAAAACCTGGTAATCTACAATCAGAACTAAGCTTAGAGTTCTCCATAGCATACCCACTTTTCATTTTGTCATTGGATGTTATGGACATTGTTTTCTAATCAATTTCATAGTTAAAATCAACTCACACTTCTTCAGTGTAGTCATACAGTCTATACCAGGGATGGCAAACCTTTTTGAGTACATATGCCACAAAGATAATTATGCTCACAATAACTATATTTTAAAGAAATGAATGAATAAGATTTCAGTAGAATAAATGTAAAGAAGTTGATTGAAAAAAGGATGATTAGGTAATAAGCTAAACGGACGATAAACTGAAATCACATGATTCATTACATGCCAGATGATTTTTCCTGATGTGTCACTTTGGGCACAATACCTATAAGTTTGCTATTCCCAAGTCTATGTTGTTGGTGAGATGGATGAGTGTTGTTCAGATGTGCAAGGGTGTTAATGACAGTTTGGTGTATTTTAGATCTTTAGAATTTCCAGATATGAATACATTATGGAATGAAAGAGTAATCAATAAATATTATAATTATTAGATAAGTAAAACAGAAATGAAGCTATGATGATATAAATGTGTATTGAAAAATTTTTATCTTGCAAAGTTTAGAAGATTCCCTCTCAGTATTGTGTTTTTTGTTTCACTTATTTTATAATTACATCCACAATGAAGTTTAATGTTTGAGTTTCTGAACTGTATATGGGTATCATGCTTTCAATAGCTGCTCTGAAGGCACAGATTACACAAATCTTTTATCTCCATCCTAGCAGTTTTGTGCTGATTATCTGCAGGAAAAAATTATTTATTTTTAAGTCAGTCAGTCTTTGACAGCCTAATGTTTTATTACCTCAAGATGCCAATATTGAATTGCCAGTCTGACAGACTACCTAAAACCACACTTTACATAATAAAGGATCTAAAAAAATGAAATCTTGCATAAAATATTTTCAAGAATACAAATGCTCATTTTTCAAACACAGATTATTTTAAAAGTCACTATCTATTATTTTCATGAAATTAGATTTTTTTAAAAATACTATGCTGTCAAAAATATTTGTATATTTACAAAATGTTAATTGGTTTATGTCAAATTTTCTATAATTTCTTAAATTTTCCATTCAGACTTGTATCACTGATGACGAACATGGAAGAACAAGTGTTTGTGGTAACACACAAGATTAATTTTCTTTCATTTCAAGCTTTTTGAGAGGAAGTTGTATAAGAAAGATCAAACAGACAAGGTTATGAGTTATGTTGGAAAGTGTGTTCCCGGAAGCTACTTTCTAGACTGATGGTTGCCATGTGAAGCACTAACTTTTTTTGGTATATATTAGAAATAAAAATATTTTTCATGTCTAAACCAATTTTATGTAATTCCAATTACTTTTAAAAATAGATAGTGACTTTTGAGACACCTTTTTGTAATGCATTTACTTTCACTACTTGGCACCATCTATTTACCAAATAAATATGCAATATTTCAAAACAAACATTAATTTGATTGTATACAATCTATATAATTTTAATCTCTGAAAAATGATCAGTCTCTCTAATAATATAAAAGTTTTGTTTAGTGTTTAAAACTTATAATGAATTAACTGTTAATTTGTAATAAAATTCAGCCTTTTAGTGAAGTTAAAAGAATGAAGTTTTATATTACTTTTGAAAATATTTATATAAGAATTAATATAATCCATAATGTTATTAATTGAAATTACCAAAGCAAATTAAATGTTTATTTATTGGAAACTGTCTACAAAATTGATAATTACATAAAACATGCCTTTTTATAATCATTGTGATCTATTTTGCTAAGAACTATAGAAAAAAAAAAAGGATTGAAAATGTTTAAAAGCTTGTCATCAAGCTGTTAGCTAAATTAGTGTGTTGTTTAAAAGCAACAGAATCTGTATTCCATAGACAATTAGGCTACTGTCACTTGTTAATCTCCTGCCAAATTATTTAGCCTTAAAAGTCCAATAAAGGCTGTTTGACATTTGAAGTAATTATCAGGTTGGTTATATTGATTATATAGTTATTTTCAAAATCATGAAAAAAAGAACCACCAATTAAATATTACTAATTCATAAAATATTGCAAATAAATTGTATACTTACAGTTTATAAACATCTGTTAATTTTTCAAGAATTAATTGAAGATCTGGTCTCAAAAGTAATTCTTCTAACTTCCAACAATTCCACATTTTTCCAACAGAACTGACTAGCAAAGATAAGCCTTTGTAATTTGAGGTAACACTTAACGATCGAACATGAATATCTTTGACACCAGAGTGTTTTATCAAAATGCTTTTAACTTTATCCCATTTATCTTTTAACAAATTCTGAAGTTTAATATCTTCAATATTTATCAAAATAGGTTCACTTTCAAATTTCTCAAAATTTCCATAATCAGAACCATTTGATATTATTAAATATGAAGGAGTCCTTGTAATACTTAATACTGTATAAAAAGTCAATGCCAAATAGTTTAGTGAACTATTTTTTCCTCTGATACAGTTATCAAATTTACACATTTCTTCATTTCTTTCATTTACATTGAATGTAACACAAAATTTCAAGAATTTTAAGATCCAAAATGCCGGAGAATATTTGTAATGGTCACTTAGCGGATGACCACTTTCACTTTTATATATTGAATATATCTTAAATAAGCAATCAATGTGATCTTTCACATTATAAACTGAAAGATACTCGTATGAAAAATTTGAAAACAAATTCCATAATACATTAAAAGCAATTTTTTGATTTTGGCATAACTGTGAATTTTCCACGTTGATATTTATAGATGTCAGACAATTTTCTATTGCTGTATTAATTTGTGTCTCAAGAGAATATTTTAATTGGCACTTACCTAAAAGTCTGCAATTTTTCTGTCTCATTTCTGCTAAAAGAGATGAAATACACCAAGGAAAACTCCAGAAAGAAATATCCGATTGAGTGTAAGTTACCATATACCATGCAGATGCTTTTTGATATAGTTCTTCTTTGTTATAATTTTTGTCTTTTTCTAGATCGTCAAAAAACCTTTTTTGAAAATTTTCTTGCAAAACCTGCAGAATTTTTTCAGCTATTAGAATGACATTTTTATTATCATTTTTCATTTGATCATATTTGCTTATATGCTGAATATGTCCAGAAAAAATTTCAGCTTCACTTTTAATATTATACATTTGTAATAGTTTTCTTAACTTATTCTCATAGTTCTTTTTATCTGTCAAAGCAGAATCTTCATAACGTCTCCATCCAGGATATTCTAATAATTTGTCTATTTCTATTGTGGAATTTATCTTAGCCGAATCTTTAATCGCACATTCTAGATTTCTAGAATGGCGGAAAAGATGACCCAAGATTTTATCCGATCGGTAAGAAATGTTTAAGCTTCCTTTTTCCATAAAATCAGGATATTTGTTTGGTCTCTCTTCTTTATTTAAATAAGCAAGATTACCAGTCTTGGCAAAATCCAAAGTGTATGGATACTTTAATGCAATATTAATACAATGTTTTGAAAATATACCTTCTTTATCTGCCCAGGCTAAATGTGCATTTCCCATAATTCCAATGTTGTCATTTTCAATATAATGCAAAAGAAAATTTACCATATCCTGTACCTAAAAATTACAATATTCAAATTAAAAATTAGTTTTTTAATAAAAAATTATATTACAATATCAACTAAAATGAATGTAAAATTTTTCTAAATTAGTTACTCAGTCAAAATATATATTTAGAATTTAATGTAACTTTTTTCTTTATATAAATCTATATAATTTCATATTCAGTTCAATTATACAATCTGAGTCATAACTGAATGCTGAAATTATAAATAAAAATCATCAGATTTTTTGTCGTTGAACCTTTGTCCACAAGAGAATATCCCACTAACAACTGTTCAAATATAAAAGTGTTCACAGTCACTTTATTCCACAACTTTTCAAACAACACTCTCTGTTTGATATTTTCCAGAGTTTGACTTCAGTTTTTATTATACTATTTAAAAGACATATTTTATTTTAATAAATGTATTTTGTTTTGTTCTGGTGTTTTTGAAACTGTGCCAGTAATTTTTAGTAAAATTTAATGATGAGATTTGCCAAGTGTCTGAATAAATACAATAATTGATTTGTGTTCAAATTACTATTTTGTTCTGATTGAATTTTTAAATAAGTCTGAGTGTAGTTTTATTTTTAAAATTTATCAGTTAAATATTTATAATGCACAATAATATAAAACAAATGAACAAATGCTGGCATTGTTGAAGTGCAAGTTTGCATTTAGTGCATATAATTTAATGCAAATAATTTCACTAAAAATATGATCATAAGAATTTATGTCATTAAAGCATTGTTACAAATTATAGTAAAATGGACTTTTGCATAAATAAAAATTGTGACAAGAGTATACAGACAATTTGTTAAGCAACAAACACAGAAATACTTTTTTCTTTGCATGTATAACCAGGTTTTATGCATAACTGATGTGGTTTCTGGAAATAATTTAAGATCAAGATGGTTGTTACTGTGCCCAAAATGCAAATAATATTGCAAAATTTATTCACGATCTTAATTAAAAGAAATCTAAATTTATTATCATAGATAGAAAGAGCTGCATCTACATCAATCTTTCACTAATAATCTAAAAGAAATCTTTCATTAATAAGTATGATTCATATGATTCATTACTCCTAATGATGGATGTTAATACTGTTATATAATGATAGCTGCTCAAGCATCTGATTTATAGAACATTTCAATAAATGAGATGCAAGATTTGGGAAATTGTTTTCCATGATTTTTAGCAAAAAGATGAGTTATAAGAAACTTTTCTTTATTCCATTTCTCACAGAATTGTCTAACTGTCAACATCTGTCTGTTAGTAGGGGTTTTTGAAGCATCAAGTCCCTTCCCCCTTCCCCCTTCTCATTGATCCGAGAAAGGTTGCAGAAAAAAATTATAACTAATTGTCATTACATGAAAACGCCGATATGTGCTAATATAACAACAATCAAAAGAAATAATAAACCATCTGCCCAGACTAATTGGAATCTCACAGTCCTAGCCAGACCAGTGATCACACATTTGAAGTGTCATCGCTACAAAACAAGATCACCTGACGGGGATATAATGGCTGTGCACCTGATCTTCGGGGTGATCATTCTCCAAGAATGCCTTTTTTAACCTTGTGCCTTATTACCATGTAGATTACTGGACACTTCTTGTCTCCCTGAACCTTTGCCATCCAACTCCACTACCGACCATTAGAAAGAGGTGGGACGATTAACCAATTTCATGTAAACTCTCTCTCTTGGTCTGTTAATATGTAAGAGAAACAGACTGCAGAATGCAGTAATAGTATCACTAGCCTTTAATCAAGGTTTCTCTTAGTATTTGCATTCACTTGTAATCATTTTACTTTATATTAAACTCTTGTTGAATTTTTACGACGGTTGTTCTTACTTGTGTATCGCCAACCCTCCCACTCAAACTATGGAGCACCCTCCTATTTGAACCTAAGTTTAGCTGAATATATCGGAATATTTGCAAGTTAGGACACACATTAAACTAGTGTCAGGACCTGATGTCGAAGGGAGTTTGCAATCCCTATGACAATATATAGATAATGCCATCCACTGACAAAGTGAGCAGATCTCGCCGATTCGACACCAATCAAAGAGGTCAACAGTGCAACCTGTAACCCCAGCTTCTCACAGAGATTCACAGCTTCTCACAGAGATTTAGTTTTTCTACATAATGGATACTGTCTAAGAATTTGTAGAATTATTTTGAACAATGTCATCAATCATAAGGACCCATAAGAACTGAGATGAGTCTAAATCTATATATATATATATATATATATAAAAGTGTAATATAGGGACATACACGTCCATTTTTATATATAGATATAGATAAGCGTATACATAATGCAGCAAAAAAATATATATTCGTAAGCAAAATTATTTGTGCATAACACTGGATTATTTCATTTAAAATGAAACTTTCTTTAAATCGAAAATGTAGCTATAATTGTTCATATATTTAGTTCAAATTATTTTAACTTAGAAATAGCGGGACATTGGACAGGTTTCTAAAGACAATTATTATACCACTTTTAAATGCAAATCAAGACTTAATGTTAATTGGTTTTCTTATGTAAATGAAAGTGATTAATTTAAATAACTATTGTTGTAACCTATTGCTATTTTAAGGAACAGCAATACTGTTAATTCACAAAATAATATAGACAAAAAGAATTAGGTTAAGTGGCAAGTAATATGGCGATAGAATGTTTACAAACACAATTTTAAATCACATGATTCTTTCCGCGTAAATTTAATTATAGGTTTAAGTGTGCCGTGAGATAAAAACGGTTGAAAAACACTGGTTTAGACACTGAGCGAGTATTAGTTTTAAATATGCCATTGTGGCAAACAGCACCAATAGCAGGACTCGTTTTATGGTATTTTCTGGTCATGATTATACATTATGAATGCTTTATTCGTAATTACTATTAGTTAAAAATGAAAATAAGTTAAAATTTTAGATAGCGACCTTACTTATATATGAATGGTTTTTCCATAAAAAATACTGTAATGTTTAAAACAGAATGTTCTAACTCGTGAAATTATAAGATGGAATTTTGAATAAAATAAAATATAAGGCGTCTTAAAAGTTGATATTTTCTCACTCTGAAAATGCTTCTGGAAATCTTTTCTGGCTATGAACTTTACAATTCCAAAGTTATGTCAGAACTAAACAATAAATCATAATACAGGGTAACTTCCATTGACGGACATTCCCGAATAGTGGGCACCTCTACTTTACGGGCAGTTTTACAATCACAGACCCTTCAAATAGGACATTTATTATATTTACCTCTAAATAACGGACGCTGTCGTCCAATCTTACGAACACATAGTCCCCACCTTCAATATTCTGAAAGAATTAATTACGTACAAATTATTTGACATGTTTTTAGGCTCTAGGCTACTACATTTTGGCCACTTTAAAAATAATTTGGAGTACTTTTCGAGGAATTCTGCTTTAATTTTTATAAAACCTATCTGGCAACCTGTGACGTTCTTACGGGACACGTGGTTTACCTGAGTTTATTCATACTAATGTACCGTGCATTCGCTAAATAAGGTCCATCTTTTTATAAAGAAAACGCTGACATTTCTACAAGATTTTTGTTTTTGAAAGTACCTGCCCTTTAGCAGCTTTATCAAAAACTATATCAGCTGGAGAAGACGATTCCGCTGTGTTTGATAAAGTGTAAACATCGGCAGAACCTGTTGTTACTTTTTAAAGATAATTTGATAATGTTCTTCATCTTTTAGTATCTTGACATACATAAACATGTTATTCTACTTATCACATACTTTAATATGACATATAAGATATAGGTACTGATATGTTCCATTTTAATGTGCATTTATTTATCTGTTAGTAAAACGCTAATGGAAAGCGTGGGTTAACGACAGNTTAACCCGACGTAGAGCTACGGACGAGCGGAGACACCGATTGGTTGACCACCAGTCGCCGTAGCGCATATGTAAGGTCAGTTTGAGCGGGAAAATTAAGGATAGATAGATATCGTCTGGCCAATGAGAAGTAGATTTGTCTCACTAACGATAGTTTTTGATCGGCGGAAGTGCTACTGCGTTGTAAGGTGTTTTCCTGAATGAACTGATACGGGATAAATTCAATGGCGCTATGGATTCGGATGCCATTTATTGGACTATTAAGTTTGATAACTTGACTCATGGGTACCTAAACGTTTAGTATTTTAATATTAATTTAATACCAAATAATATTAAACAGAAAAAATAAATATATTCAATAAAAATCTTTGTTTTAATGAATGTACAATGTCACGGCTTGGTAAATACGTCAACACTGAAACGAAAATCAGTCTGGCATAGGGAAAATCGGGGAATTACACAGCAAAATCACAAATTGTGCAGCGGCGTTATTGTGAATCGGCGTAAATTGAACCGGTGTAAACCAAGGGCTACCTGTATTTGGAATACAAAATCTGAAATAATTAAAGGAAGAGTTTATCTAAGAAAATAAGAAGAAATTATCTTGCTATCTTATATTTACAAAAGTTGTGTATGTCAACATAATTGAAGGCAAAAACAAACTTAGTCCTTGCTGAACACATCAGTTCTTGTCAGATTATCTGAATTAAATGTAAAGAGGGATCTGGATTTTACTGTGACTGTATGTTAAAAGTGAATAATTATTATTGGACTTCATGCTGGATATTATGTAATCAAGTTGAGAAAATTATCGTCTAGGCGTTAATAACCAACATCTATCGCTACAAATAACAAGCGCTTTCAACGAAACTATTTTCGTCTTCTTCAGGTTAATTAACAGAACAGTTAATATTCTTCAAATTTAAAATTACCGCAACGGCAAACTAGCATTGGAATAAAAACGAAATAGAACAGCTCGTAGGCACACAGGAAATGCTTTCCGACGAGCTGTTCTATTTCGTTTTTATTCCAATGCTAGTTTGCCGTTGCGGTAATTTTAAATTTGAAGAATATTAACTGTTCTGTTAATTAACCTGAAGAAGACGAAAATAGTTTCGTTGAAAGCGCTTGTTATTTGTAGCGATAGATGTTGGTTATTAACGCCTAGACGATAATTTTCTCAACTTGATTACTGTGACTGTATGCCATATTGTATGCTTTTGTCCTTCAGACAATTTTCCCTGCTCTCTAGCAGAGAATTCTTTTTACCATCTAGAAGTTTCTAATCTTAATTCTTTCTTGGAGGTGAGGGTCACTTCCTAGAATTTACCAACATATTGTAGGCAAGGTTACCTGAGGGCATATGAAGTGAAAGAAGTTACTTTTGAGCTAGGGCTCAAAGAGAGAGGATAATGAAAGGAAAGATGACAGTATATGGTGCCTGAGTAGATGGGTAAAGTCAAAACATCAAAATTCCCAGCCCAAAGTTAGCGTGTTAGAGCCATGGTTCCCAATTAGTGGTACGTGTACCCCTGGGGTATGCAAAATTGCATGAAGGGGTACACGCGGCAATCTAAAATCAGTCAAGTTAAAATTTAAATGCATGAGATGAGCAATCAAAAAAATAATGGATGGACCATCAAAAATTTGGCAATTTACAACATGATGTTGAATGCACAAATTTGTTTATTTATAACTAAAAATATGCTCGAAATTTCATCAAAAAATGCATTTGTGACAATACCTAAATGAAATTCTTATGCAAGAAACAAAAATTGTACAATTATCATTATTATCATGCCAGCGAAGCAGCAATAAAATATTTACTACCATTTTGCACAACATACCTCTGCGAGAGCAGATTTTCAGCCATGACAAACATGAAAACTAAACATCGTCACCGACTTCAACTCAAAGATGACTTGAGACTGAAGCTGACCAAAAAGCAACCAGATTTTACAAAGTCGTGCAAAGAAAATCGTGCACATTTGTCACATTAAAATTAAATAACCTTATGTTATTTTCATTATTATTAGAATTGTATTTTAAAGGTAATAAATGTAAAAAAACTTATTCTATTTATCACTAGCTGTCTATCCACAGCTTCGCCTGCATTATATTGAATTTTCTTGTGGGAGTAAGATATTTTCTCGCAGTAAAATGTAGCCTATGTCCATCTCCAACATGTAAGCTATCTCTGTGCCAAATTTTATTAAAACCTGTTCAGTGGTTTAGACAAGCAGAATTACCTTCGAATTTATAATATTAGTATGGATTAATATGAATTTCTGCTATAAGGGGTATGCAAGTTTGAGCTCTTTCTAGAAGTGGTACGCAGGAAAAACTAATTGGAAACCACTGTGTTAGAGCCAGCATGTCATCTTGATCAGTTTGAACATGTGACAGACTACTGGGATCAGATATACAAGAAAAATTTCTCAAGAACCAAAGGAAAGGAAGACAAGCAAGAATTTTGTGTTAAAGAAGCTTCCATGTGGCCCCTCATGGTAACCAAACAACATCTGCACTACCCAGATATTACTAAATACCTTTCCTATCCTATCCACCATCTTTGCTAGTTCTCACCCCTACTTCCTATTTCCTAAATTAGTATTAAGGAAAATTTTGTTGTAATTATTATTGTCAGTTTCTTTTGTACTAATCATGATAATTTTTGTAATTATTCTATCAATGACCAGATTTGGGGTGACTGTTAGTCAACAACCCCTACAACTAGAATCCCTTTGAAATTCTTTTTTCTATCTTCTACTTTACATGTGTTTTTTTTTTTTTAGTGTTTGCCTTCATAGGTTAAATAAACCCTTTCTTAAATATCACAATACCAAATGTCTAACTCCTAGGAAAAAGTCTCTGGCCAGATCAGAGTCTTTATCTAAAGAGGGAGAGTTACCAACAACGCTCACTCATTCATAAAATAAAGCCAAATCAGGGAAAAGCAGTGATTTTACAGAAAATGAAACTAATAATATGACAAGAAGAGGAGGAAAAGATATAAATAAAATAAATAAATATAAAAGAATAAAAAGTAAAATCTTCAATGGTGTCAGTATAAAAATTACATTTAAAAAGTTTTAAAAATTTTCTTGAGTAAATTTTTAAAACTTTTATTATGTATCACATATATAATATATATTACATTATTATAGGCTATATTACATAAATGCAGATTGAAATAGAACAATTAATTATATAACATGTTTAATATTTTTAAAAAATATATATTATGGAAATTCAAGACTTAATTTTAATAATAATAGACAGAGAATATGTTTGAACAGTTTTACCTTTCCAATGCATACAAATGTTTTTCACATTCAGGAATTATGGAAAATAATAGAAGTTCTGATTTTATCTATATGTTACCTGTTCTTATTTTAAAAAATGGATATGTAATTTTAGCTGTTAACTAAATATTATATAATATTGTACCCAACTGAAGAGGGATGAATATATATGTCCAAAATGCATGTTGGAGTCAATAAAATTGAAATGATAAAACAGTCAATTTAAAGTAATTTGTGGTTGTTACGATAAGTTTAGTTTCAAGGCATATTAATAGCCAATTGAAAATTTAACATAATTATCCAAATAAGAAGTATTTTATACTAGAGTTATGTTTATTAAAAATTTGTCATCAAAGGAAACATTTTAATTAATCAATCAACACTACCATTGAAAGACAAGATATAATATCACAATATTTACAGCTGAAGTTTATAGAACTAAAAGAATTGATAATTTGATAATTTGACTGTTCATTCAGTTCAAAAATACATTTGTACGTTATACAGCAATAGCCTAACTGTAAGAAATTAAGTAACATTTCTAAAAAATGTAATACAGGTATTTCAGTTCTTCAAATCAATAATCACTTTATATATAATAAACATGATTATGAAGAAATTTATCACATTACAGAAAGCTGCCATACTAAACACATCACATAGGAAATTCTTAAATACAAGTACACAAATAGCACAGACATAATAGCTTGTTCTATAAGTTATGCTCTGATTCCAGCATTAACACTGGTACATAAGCCAAGTAAGATGCATTCCACCAATACCACCAAAATAATAATAAGGATGACAGTTTTACCTGCCATTTCATCTGGATGCGGTCTTTTTCCTTTGCGTGGAAACACAATGCAGTCTTTAATATGATGTAACTTCGGTATATCAACAGCATTAAATTTTCTTACATCACCAGGATGAATACAAGGACATTTTGTAACTAGAACTGTTCCTATTAAAACATAACAGTTAAGAATTATTATATTAATAATTATTTTTTGTATAAAGAATAATTTACCATTTTGAAACATGATTATTTATAAATTTGAAAATAATAATTTCTAAAATATTGTGTAAATATGCTGTATAAATGAAAAGAAAGGAATAAAAAATTCTTATTTTATTTTGTTATTTAATTCTGTTAATTTAAATTTATTTTATTTCTGTTGTACTTAAATTTTATATTTTGTTCTATTCTACAGATATTTACTGAATTTTCTCTTTTTATTCAAATATGTTATATTTTGGAATACTCAACCAATGAAGATTTATCAAATTAGGTTGAAAATATTTCTGTTTCATTATACTTTTTGCTGGAGAGGACATTATAAGAGGACTTGATTTCTAAGGTGTAAATTTATTTTCTGACATTCCTTCAGTTTCTGTATTTTGTTACAAAAAAGGAATACACAAAAATAATGAAAAAACTAGTAAAGCTGACTCATCCAATGCAGGGATTGGAAATCGTGTTATATGGGACATGCATTATAAGAGGATGTTAAGCAAGTTTAAACTACGCCATACAAATTCACATTATAGGGGAACGTGTTATACAGGAGTTCACTGTATATTTAAATTTCATCATCCAAATTAAATAAACTCCTCTGAAACTGCATGACCAATCTCAATCAAATTTGGTATGGACATCAAGTCTAAGTACATGAATTGTGACCACCAGGAAAACTGACCTAGAAGAATTGACTGTCCAAAATTTTCAGTTGTGGTTTCAGTTACTCATTGTTTCTTTGGAAAATCAGATAATTTTTATAACACTTGATTTGAATTATGTAATTAATGTTGACACAAAGACTAATAATATATAAATCTTAGATAATTTTTGAATTTGTTTGCAATTTTGGATTCTTGTCAGTATTCAAAGTGAATTATTGTTATTTTTTATTCTTGAATTACAGGGACAAAGTTTTCAGAAAATATGAATAGAAGTGTTGGGTACATTTGCTTGTTGCACTTGAATATGTTGGAAACTCAAGAACATATATTCATTACACTTAATTATGTTGGTTACACACAAATATAACAAAGAAATGAACTGAATACAATGACATAGAGCAGGCCTGGCCAACTTACAGTGGTGTGTGACTGCCTTTCATGAGTTAAAAACCAAAAATCCACTTCACATTTCTGTTCTATAATAGCTTAATAAGCTACCCTAATAAAATTTTGCTGCAAAACATACTTATATTTATTTCTTGCACAGTAATTAGTATTCCAGATTATCTCATTTTGGTAAATACATGAAACAGAAATTAAATGACACCGTCAAAAATTTTATTCATTTTTTGTTGCCCAAATCATTTGCTGCTTTGTTGAGTGCTTACAACTATTATCAAATAATTTATAGTAGACCCCTGTAAAACGGGTTCATATAATTCGGATTCGTATATAACGGCAAAAAAACTGCGACCGTATTCATATAAACACACTAAAAGAGACTCGTATAATTCGGTAAAACGTCATCGCTGACTCGTATCGTGACAGGATTAGTCAAATCTAGACCAATAGCGGATATTGCACAAACTGTTGAGTTTAAACAAGCAGCGGACCTACTAAAAACCATTTATTATTTAACGTCTATAAAAATTTTATTTATATTAATAATGTCTCCAAAGTTCAGCAAATTTTTTGCAGAAAAATAATTTATCAGGAAACACGTGCACCCCTGTTCGATGCACCACTCCATGATGAAAACAAGCTTAAGCAATGGCGTCGTCAAACGGTGCACACTCGGTAAGTAATCCTACAATTTTTTGTTTATTTCATAGTTTATATGGATTATTACCAAAAAATTATATATGTTTTGGAAATGTTGAGTCAAATTAGTCTAGAATCGATTAATTTTATTGAAGAAAACCTTTCAAACATCCATAGTCCGTAAACTGCATACGTGCCAGGCTGTGATTGGCTCATTTATTTAAGAACTCTTAAAACATGAATTTCATAAAGAATGGAACGTATCTACCGTGTTATAGGGGAGTCGAATGTACTTGTATGGAATATCATGTAATTTTGTCATAGAATAAATGAATTTATATTTAGTCCAATTTAAAATCTTTTTCAATTAAATTGTTTTATCCCACATTGGAAATTATTCAGTTACTGAATAATTTCCAATGTGGGATAAAACAATAACTAACTTAAATAAAATTCCAGCATTAGGTTAAATGAAAAACACTGAAACAGCAACTGAATATTTTCTGACAGTCAGTGTCTCAGAAGGTTAGTTAGAGGCAGTCAGTTAACCTGATCTGATTCCTTATTCACTGAACTGGAATTGATTGTCACTATTTGAAATACTAATCAGATCCATGTCCGTGAGGAAAATCATGGGAAAACTTTGCCATAGATTTAAGCTTGGATTTTGGGTGTTTATAAAGTGCATGCAGCAATTCAATTCTGTTTATAAGCATAAACAAACACATCACTCAATTTTTGCTGACATTCCTTTTTTTAATTTAACATGATAATTGTTTCTAAATTCCAACATGAATATTGCTAGTTGGCAACATAAGTAATCTGACTAATATTACCATTCTGGTGCCATAAGGTCTGGATTAATGAACTTCTACTTTATTATATAAAAATTTAATTTGAACTCAGATAGTTTGAAATCCTGTTAGTTCATAACTGTGCTATTTGTCCCATCCAGGAATATTGATCCCTGGATGGGACATATTTTAATGAATTTGGTAAGTTTGAAATACGGTTACTTTGAAAATTTTAAGTGAAAATTCAGTCTAAACTGTGATATGTGTATATTAACTCATATATTTAGATTTAAGTTCCCATGCCTCTGTGAGAGTCAAAATTTAGTTAATTTTATAAAATAAATTTATTCCTTACCTACAAAATCAAAATATAGAAGCCATGGGAATTTTATGTCTTAATATAAACATTCTCATGAGGAATCCGTGCATAGTTTACACTTACAGGCAAAATTCGTCATATTGTTGCCATTCTATCACTACCTTTAACCCCACACCTGCCAAACAATTGATCACCTGACTAATTTTCCCACCACAAAAAGTATAAAAGCCCTCCTCCTTCCTCTCTCGGGGGAATCATGAGTCAAAACGTCGAGGTTGGAATTTGTCTTCCCCATTGCAGACATACACTTGTGTCACCGCTCAGAATCCATTTGGACAACATCACGGGAAAATATCCCACTAGTACATGCAAAGAGTTATGAACGCATATTTGTAAACTCTCTCTCTCTGCCATAAGTGCAGTAGCAGGATAGGTTGTTATAACGGAACTTAGAGTAATTAGGTTTGTAATTTTTTCCATAGATGATTGTAATAAATTCTTGTTTTGTTTTTAAATGGAGTCTTTACTCGACTTAGCCAACATCTTATCGTCGACCCCTCTGACTCTCCTCCACTCACGTAACACGTAAGAAAATGTAAACGCCATCCTTGACAAGAAAGTAGGTCACTGGAAAGGAGAGGAAATTCCCAACCCCCGGCGGCTCACACCTCTATACTATAAGAGAATAATAAACCACAAACAACTCTAATCTGGTCAACATGGCTTTGCTTTTACAGTAACACATTTTCAGGTGTCACCTTACCCATCAACTATCCTTTTTTCTCTTATCTCATAAAATACAGTTGGGTTTCAGGGTTGCAAGATTGGGCTACAAGTAGCAGATTGAAATATTTGTTGGGGTTTACACTACTGAATTTGAGTAATTTACTACATTTTGTGTTACTTTAAAAATAATTTTGGTTACATTTCAAGAATTCTGCTTTATTTTTTTATAACCTATCTGGCAACCTGTAAGGTTCTCACCAGACTTGTGTTATTTACCTGCAGTTTATTTATATTATTATTAACAAAATTAGCATTTTGTATATGTAGATGTATTCCATTTGCTTAATAAAATTCAGTTACACAGCACTTCACATTGTACAGAAATATGTAAATCTTGGATAATTCAGAGTCATGTTTGTACCTTGAATTTTCAACTAATGAGGATTTTCTGTATTGATTTTCAGAAAAAATTATTCATTACCTTCTAAAATATGAAGTGGAGATTCATAATCACTTATTTCTTCAGAATACTGAACAAACACTTCTCCATATTCTAATGTTCCAGTTTCATCAACAACACCAAACATATTTCTTCCAAATTTAGGTGGTATGGCTATTCTGGCTTTTGACTTCAAAAGTTCTAAAGTAGGATATCACACTTATAATGATAATTATTAATAAGTTAATTAATTTAAATAATTTTATATTATATAAATATGATATATAATAGTTACTTTGTTCAATATGCAAGATATTTAAAAAAAAAAAAAGTTATGCCAAATTTGTAACGATGGGTTGTCCCTCTGCATAGTTTTCTATTGTGTGCATGAAATCATGACTAATTGTGGAGTTCCCTTCAGAGTACAATTTTATTATCCATTCTACTATGACTATGCAACTTCTCCATTATAAGTATTAGCAATTATTGAAGTATCCTTTATAAAATGAGCAAAAATTATTCTGACATTCTCACAATACTAGGCTCCAATTTTTAATCATGTTTTTAATTTATTTAATTTAAAATATATGATCTCATTCTCATATTAGTAGTACATCAAACTTTTCCTAATAAGAAATATTATGCTGATCATTCATGTAACTCCATTCTGGGGAAAATTTTGATAGAAATCACATGACTTTCAGTCAACACTGGAAGTTCATATATAGTTAACTAGGGCCTCCTGCCCCTAAGCTTTCCGTATATGATTTCAACTTTCATCCATCTAACATCATTTTCCAGATTAAAGAAGGGGAAACAGATGACAGTGGGAATTTATAGGTCTACAATTTTTTCAAATTGCAGCTTAATCATATTTGTCAAAGTGAAAATTATTGATTCATTTGACATACAGCATGTTCTGATTTATAGCATATACTATTCCTGAAAGCCTCTTGTAAGATCCAGGAAAAGCTTTTCTATTATTTCATAAGGTCAAAATTTATACCTCATTCCAGCATAACTCAACCATCCATGTTCCATAAAAATAGGATGTTACATAAACATAAAAACATCATTGGTTAATAGGATGCTACAAAGCATCCTATTAACCAATGATTCTAAATAAAAGAACCCAATGAATGCATCGATACGGTTATTCACTAATATAATATAAAAAGGAACTAATATGAAGTGAGAGAAGCAAGTATGATACAAAAGAAGTAAATATATATCAGAGATTTCTTTATTTAGTAGTAAGAAAACAATAAGCAACAAAAAATATATAAAATAGAATAAATTTTTTTAATGAAATTGCAATCATTAACAGAAGAGTTTTTAATATAGAGATAAAGTTGACTAAATCAAACAGTCATGTTAGTATGAATGATACTACTATTATTAAACAAAGACATAATGAAAGAAAGAAAATTGGAGATTAAAATCTGAGTCATCTGATTTGAAGTAAGCAGGAATTTCATTCTCACTGTACTTGTGATTGATTAATATTTTGTTTCCCTAAATTGGGAAGAGATTAAATAAAGAAATTTGTTGTATCAAATTCTCATATATTGAGTATTTATAAGTTGGGATCACATTGTTTATTAACAGTCCCAAGTTATAAATGGTATTATATTGCAATGTATTTGAGTCTAATGCTAATGACATTATATTGCAAGTAATAAGTATTTGATAACTTTTGAAATTCCAAATTCAATTAAATTCTATGTACAGCTAACTGTTTGTTTGGAAATCAAGTCAGAAAATTTCTATTAAATATTACACTTTTGAGCATTTCTGCCCATCCTGAGTATCAATAATGACAGAAAACTCAACTCAGATTTTAACACCACATATGGTAAAACACATCACCTATTATCTACTTGATTATAATTAACTCCCCTCTGCTAGATATATTGCACAATCACTCTCACTCTGTCTTTTTTTTTTTTTACATCTTGATCTCCAAGAAATTAGTTAGCTGTTTTGAGAAATTTATAGAAATAAATGTGTGACTATTTAGAAATTTGGATTAAAACTTACCCATTTTTGTTTTAAACACACTTATTAACAGAGAATTAAAGAATGGTTCTTGTGTAAAATTAATTCCACTCTTCCATAATTCTTCAAATGGAATTTGTAAACTAATACACTTTGATAATAGTTTATAAGTTTCCAACTCATTCGAAAATGCTTCTGTATATTCTAAAATCATATTGTTTTGCAAATTAAGAAATACTTGTCTCTGAACACCTAGACCTTCGAGGATAGTTATTAAAGGTCGATTTAAGAAAACACATCCTGAATTAAAAAAAATAAAATATATATATATATAATTTTATCAAACCAGCAATAAAATATCATAATATAATGCTTATAATAAGAAAAATTTTTAAGCTACGAAATAATAAATAAAATAAAATTTAAAGAAAATCTCAAACTAGATTTAAATTTGTGCAGTATAAAACTAAAAATAAATAGAACAGGTAAGATACATATAAGTTACATATATAAGTATCATAATTTCACACAAATAACCCCCAAATCATTTGTGTTTAAAAGCATATGCAAGTCATGTGATGATGTGAATAGATTATATGCTAGTTTTAACTTATAATTAAAAAAAAACTATTTGATAATTTTTTTTATCTAAAGTCACTAATTGTTTTTTACAGAAAACATGAAAAATCATTTCTTTACCACAGAAATTTATCTGTCATCATTTTTCCCAATATCACAACATACATACATACATACATGTGTCTTATCTTCAGTTCTTACCCATTCATTTACATTTCTTGAGAATAATATGTTATCTGTGTTTAAGAATCAATTTCAAAGTGCATGCTTATTATGTAATAATGTGGGTTAGCTGTAAAGTTTAAATTGCAACTATGAACTCCTTCAGCAGCATTTCCTTTGTTTAAATTTACCAAGAATGTCTTTAAAGGCATGAAAAATCCTTTACATATATTTTTCCAATACAATTTTTTTGGAAACAACCAAAGACACACATACATATTCAACTTTAGTTTTCTTCCACTTTCATATATTAATCGATATTAGACATCCCTACTTAAACCAATCCATGAATGAGAGAGCAAAGTCTACAAATATTTAGGATGCCAACCAGCCAAACTCGTAAAACACACACACACAAAACAAAGACTAACAAAAAATACAACAGCAGAGTAATCTAAATACTAATAACACAGCTGAATGCAAATCACACATTTAAAGCAATAAACACATATGTCAACCCAGTACAGACATATCCTTTTGGAGTTATACAGTGGACAAAGAACTAGAATAACTCCAAAGGAAAACACAAATAATATTCATTGGAATCAACAATCGAAATTATTGTCAAATGTTATATGACATCATTACGTACAATGCATTGTGTTGTGATGTTTTGTAAACGTTCTTCCATTACGTAATAAAAGGTTGGTGGTGGTGCTGCTGACTCCCCAGGGAGCCGTTAGAGACGGTGACCTCATTTCACTCTCCCTTTTTAGTGCTGACCTTCCGTGAGTCAAGACAGTATAATCTTTGTGTATTCTTTGTTATATAATCAGTTACGCGAGTCTAACTTGTTTTTACTAATCTCTCCAACAAGCAACATCTAGTCTAACAGGTTATGGGTCCAGTTACGGCAACAACTAATTAAGTGTAAGGAAAAAGCAAAAAAGGTAAATTCAAGAAATAACGTAAATTGGATATAAATTAAGTAAGAAGAATATTAGACGAGAACACAAAAGACATCACAATGGTGGATAAAAGTTACGTTGCCATCACTAAATTGAACAACAATAACTATCACATTTGGAAATATAAGATGGAATTGCTGTTGATAAAAGACGAGTTATGGGACATAATACAAAAGGAAATACCCTCGGATCCTGACTCATCTTTGTTAACAATGGATGGAAAGGTGCGCGCCATGATAGACCTTCTGATGGAAGACAATCAACTGCCATTAATAAGAAAGGAAACTACAGCTAAAGGAACTTGGGAAGCCATAAGGAAACACCATGTTAAGTCTATACTATCAAATAAAGTTTACCTATTGAAGAAAAATTTGCAATTTAAAACTAGAAGAAAACAGCGACATGGAGATACACTTGGCCAACATGGAGGAATTGGTTGATCATCTTACGGCACTGGGAGAAACTCTAGCTGAGAAATTAAAGACATTATTACTTAGTAGCTTGCCAGACAGCTATAGCACTTTAATAACAGCACTAGAGATTCGTCCAGAAGAAGATTTAACTCAGGAGTTAGTATGTAATAAATTACTTGAGGAACAGTCAAGAAGAAAGACCTTATCAAATGAAGAATATGAAGCGGATAAAGCATTTAAAGTGGGAGCACACCCAGTAACTCAGAAAACGAATTTGCTCAAAAGTTGTTATTTTTGCAAAAAACAGGAACATGTAAAGAAAGAATGTAGTAAATATGCAACATGGAAAGAAAAACATCCAAATCAGATCAACAAAATTTATGCAGAAAGTGATGAACAACATCTTGAAAAGGAATCCTATGTATGTTTTAAGACAGGAACACAAAACGAGATTCATCAATGGTATGTAGACTCAGGAGCTTCATCACCTATGTATTGTGAGAAGTATTTATTCACAACTATTAATAGTAAATATAGAGAAAGAGTGATACTAGCCAATGGTCAAGCACTATAAACTGAAGGTAAAGACAATGTAATGATAACCTGCATGGATGAAAATAATGAACGACATCGAATATATATGAAAGACGTGCTATATGTGACACACCTTAAAGGAAATTTAATCTCAGTCAGAAGACTAATGAGATTAGGTTTGCCATAAAATTTGAAGGGAACGTTTGCTCTATCCAGAAAAATGGAGTAACAGTAGCAACAGCAAACACATGTTTGTATGAGCTCGATAAATCTCAAAGTGCTTACAGTAGTTAATGATACGAAGGAATGTGAAACGAAAACAAGGGAACAAGAAATGGAAGAAACTGACATACATTTAAGGAGATTGGAAAGAACTACTAAGGGAGTACCTCCTATAAATTTATTGTTTCAATTAACCTTATCAGTGACAGAGGATGCAGTAGAACCGAAAGAATATAGCGAGGCAATCGCAGGCAAACATTCCAAAGAATGGAGTGAAGCCATGAAAAATAACGGCACATGAAAAATTACAAAATTACCTCCAGGTAAAACTGCAGTAGGAAGCAGATTGGTATACAAAATTAAGAGAGACGAAAACAATAAAGTTAATTGTTTTAAGGCTCATTTAGTCACTCAAGGGTACACACAAAAGTATGGCTTTGACTACAAAGACGTATATGCCCCTGCGATTAAAACTGCCACCCTTTGAACACTCCTAACTATAGCCAGAATTAAGAACATGAAAGTTAAGTATTATGACATAGAAACGGCTTACTTAAACAAAGACTTATCACACAAGGTATACATGAAACAACCTGAAGCAGGTATGCAATCAATGTCTGAGAGCCAACTAGAAGTAGTAGATAAAGCACTAAAATCTATGGGTCCACAGCTTTCAGCCATTGATGTAACAGACAAGTCTTCTTTTGTTTCAGCCCATTCAGTACCAGGTAACAAAAAAATTGACCCGCAGAAAAGAACTCTCTTCAAGACAAAGAAAGATGCAAAAAGAAAATATCAGAAATTAAGTCCCAGCTTAGAGGAAATAGAGAGAACTGCTGCTAAAATAATTGTAAATGCTAAAACATCAATGTAAAAACTTTTTTTACATTGATNAGCCGCAGGTTGCCGACCCCTGGTCTAGTGCAAGGTCCTTGGGTCTAGTAGTTGTTTGATATCCGAAGAAGAGACGTCGATCGTAGCTTATTAAATACAAAATTCATTTTATTAACATCTGTATTATTATTGATTTTACTTATTATTAGCATTCAGTTTTTTGCAAATTTCATTTATCAAGTTTTTAGTTTACGTATTTATTTCGTTAGGATTATTTCATATTTTGGCGTGTAGCATTTGTCCTTATTGTTGAGATGGCCGACATCGTAAATGAAATACCTGAACTTACGGCTTCTGCAGAAACTGACATTGTAAATAGTTACACATGCACATTGTGCAGAAAGACTTTTAAAGCGTTTCGTTATTTAAAAGTGCATACAAACAATTTTCATCCAGATCACGTGAACGAGTTAGTGAATCCAAAGAAGTTGCAGAAATTCAATCAAAATCTCCGGCTACGTTATCATCTCCGGAATGACCATGGTGAAATAATTGAAAGCCACTATTCAGAAAGTGTTTAATCTAGATAGAAAATTTTTTACATTACTCAAACCTAAATAGCAGCAAAGTGAAGTAAATGTTGAATTTTTTAAAATAAGTCTTTATTGACACAAATATCAAAATTTCTGGGGAAAAAAAACTTAATTTCCCTTCCAATAAAACTGAAAACTGACACTTAGTTCTTATTTTTTACTTTATTTAAACTCTTTTCTGAACATATCATAGTTCCTAAACTGTCCGATAGAGGGAGACACCATCAGAGTAAGTTGGAACACACCCAGTCACTAGACGCTTGTTTGTTGTTAATACAGGGGTGTACGGTTTGGGGGGTCGCCATCTCTTCATTCGGAGGGTAAATCTTACCATTCGGATTTTAACAGCTGTAGAGCATTTGATAGGGACAAAAAAGTCAAAGGAACCGTGCCACATGGAAATTTGTAGAGAACGCTCACTAGGGGGCGTCCCAGGCTACTAGTTAGTTAGAAAACGAAAGACGGACAATCTATTAATTAAGTTTAACGTATTTAGATTTTTACAGCTATGATGAGAAACGTTTAAAATTTACAAGAACCCTGTCGGGTCCTTTCAGATATACTAGTGATACGACAAAAGACGTTAACCGGTATCGGCACCCTCGGGATTTGGCATGCATGCATGCACGCACCGCACATCTACCAAGACTCTGATTCCATCCACGAGTCACTGATAGGGAGCACTTTTAACTTTTTAGGGATTGTTTTACTATTTAAAAAGTAAACAATATCTTATGCTATTTTTATGTACTGTACGTTTCTTCACAAAACTATATTCATAGAATCGAATATTTTGTACCAGGTATGTATAATTGTGTATCGATCACACATTTTATTTTAATAAGTAAGTTTTTATAATTTTATTTTTAATTTTAGCCCTTATATTATGGCTAGCAATTTAGAATGTGATTGCGATATTGAAAATTTATTTCAAAAAAGTTTTGGCTCGAGACCTTATAATGAAAAAGAAGACATTATTAAAAGAGAAAGGCCAA